CAGACAGTAGACAAGCGAATGTACCCCTTTTCCTTCTTTCCAGGTACACACCACATGTGCGATCAGGGTGCTTTCTGCACGGATGCCCAACCCTTCAGGTGTGAGCTACCTGTACCCTTTGGATGTCTTGCAGGAAGTCTGGGGATCAAATCACGGCAAGAAAACATTTTTTTTCCCTCACTCTTAGCTGCTCATTGGAATCACCTGAGAAACTTTAAAAACTATGGCTTCCAAATGGAGAGTGAGAGGCAGGACAGGATGATCAACTTAGGGATTTACCCAAGACTCTGTCTTAAACAAGCAAATGAAAAATAAAACCCAAACCCAAACCCTGGACACCTGTCTCACAACCAGTTACTTAATTGATCTGGAGTGTGGACTGGGTGTTGGCAATTTTATCTATATATTTAAGACAAGGTTTCACTGTATAGCATTGGCTGGTCTGGAGCTCAATATGTATACCAGCTGGCCTTGAGCTGACTCGCGATCCATCTGCCTCTGCTCCTGGATGCTGGGGTTAAAGACTGGATGGGTGCTGGAATTTTAAAGAGCTTTCGAGCAGGTTCTAATGTGTAGCCAAGAGTAAGACTGTCTGCTTATACTCAATTTGCTTCCCACACTTACATTGAATTTTAAATTAATCTTAAGTCAGTAAATATTTGTTGATGCCTACTTTATATAAGGCATAAAAGTATAGCCGGGCGGTGGTGGCGCACGCCTTTAATCCCAGCACTCGGGAGGCAGAGGCAGGCGGATCTTTGTGAGTTCGAGGCCAGCCTGGTCTAGAGAGCGAGATCCAGGAAAGGCGCAAAGCTGCACAGAGAAACCCTGTCTCGAAAAAACCTAAAAAAAAAAAAAAAAAAAAAAGTAAATGCCTACTATTGTCCATATCACATGGTCCACATCAGCAAGTGGGTAACCTCGGCCAAGAGTGGGCTCACTGAGGGCAGGCAAGCCTGGGCACAGAGTCTGCGCGCTATATAAATCTGTGTACGAAGCTGTCTTCTGTTCCTCCAGACTCAACACAGTTGCCGTGAGGTTTCAAAGAAAGTGTTTTATTTGCTTGTGGGGTTAGGGGGTGAGTGAGGTATGATCTTGAAGAAGCAGTGGCGTTTGATGGGCTTAGAGGAACACCAAGTTGCCATGGGTGGAGACTGGTAGCTGCTGTGGGATGTTCTGTATGCTCTGAATGTGTTGCTCTGATTGGTTAATAAGTGCTGATTGGCCAGTAGCCAGGCAGGAAGTATAGGCGGGACAAAGAGAGAGGAGAAGGCTGGAAAGTGGAAGGCTGAGTCAGGAGACGCTGCCAGCCACTGCCATGAGAAAATGTTAAGATACCGGTAAGTCACGTGGCAACTATAGATTAATATAAATGGGTTAATTTAAGATGTAAGATCTAGATAGCAAGAAGCCTGAGCCATTAGGCCAAACAGTTTAAATAATATAAGCGTCTGTGTGTTTACTTGAGTCTGAGTGGCTGCCTGCCCTGGCGGGACTGGAGATAACTCCAGCTACAGGTAGTGGCAGAGGAGAGGCCCACAGCTGGAGGGCAGGGCCTATGTGGGCCACACACAATGTTTTCTGAGTCCTGGGCACAAAGGTTTGGGTCATATTGAGGTGAGCTTGAAGACTCCTGGAGAGCACAGCTGGTAAAGCTGATTCAGGTGGCCTTTGGGCGTTTGGAAGGGAGTAATAGGAGCATGACTCTGGGATGAGTGATCTGATGATGAGATCTGGATTAGCGGGAGGCAGCAGCCAGACCAGAGACAGGAAGACCAGACAGAAGGCTACTAGAGCTGAAGTCAGAAGTATAGAGGGGAAGGAAGAAAGGAAGTCCGAACCCAGGACCTCAGGGGAATGGGAAGGAAGCCTTGAGTAAAAGAATCAGAATAAACAGAACTCCAGCCAGGCCTGACAGCTCATGACTGTGATCCCATCCCAGGACTCAGGAGGCCGTCGCAAGAGAATTAATTGTCTTATAGGACAGCCTAGTCTACAGAGTGAGATTTTGTCTAAAAAACAAAACTAAACAGAGCTGGGTATAGTGGTGCACACCTTTAATCCTAGCACTCGGGAGGCAGAGGCAAGCGGATCTCTGTGAGTTCAAGGCCAGCCTGGTCTATATAGTGAATTCCAGGGCAGCTAGAGCTACATAGTGAGACTTGAAAAAAAAAAAAAAAACCACAAACACAAACAAAAACAAGGGAAGGGGCTGGAGAGACGGCTCAGCAGTTAAGAGCCCTTGCTGTTCTTTCAGAGGACCTGAGTTTGTTCCCAGCTCCCACACCAGGCTGCTTACAATGGCCCATGGCGCCAGCTGCAGGTGATCCGACATCTTTGACCTCCCTTGGCGCTCCCACACAATTGTCTATACTGACAGATACACATTTAAAAAATCTTCTAAAAACAACAAAAAAGGACTTGCAAACTGTATAGAAGAGGAAGAAATGACTTGACTGTTTCTTACTGAGTGATGAGGACTGCATATCCTTAAACCAGGTTGAGCAACGGCTTATAAAACGGAAGACGGCCGATTTGATGGTGGGTGTACTGAAAACAAATACAAATACAACCACAGGACCTGAGATCTTTTACTCAAATATCCTCCATTACAATAGGATTCGAATACACTGTTTTTTTGTTTTTGTTTTTGTTTTTTTTAGCATATAAGTTCTCAACAAAGGGAAATTCTGCCTCTCAGGGAGCAACAGCCAGTTGTCTGGAGATTGGGGCCACCACAGCTTGGGGTAGGGAAACAGGCCAGGGTTGTTGCCAAATATCACACAGTGCACAGGACAACCCCTACAACGAATGATTATCAAGCCCCTAAATGTCAGCAGTACGAGACTCAGAAACCCTCTTTTAAAACATAACCCTGTAGCGCCAACTGGGGAGTTGAGGATTGTTCTATTTTGAGTGAAACAGCACCACCTAGTGTCAAAACATAATATTTCTCTTAGTTCTTGAACAAAGGACCAGGTTTAAAAAATACTCAGTGAGCCGGTTATCAAAGATGAAGGATATTCGCGAGGTAACTGGCCACACTTTACATAAGTGGACAGAATGGTGGTATCATACATATTATACATATTAATATAAGAGTTAGAATAATATGCATAATGGCACAATGATGGTAATATATATACGATATTCCAGAGGCAGTCTCAGAATTTAGAAAGTGATTCTCGGTTAAAAGATATTTCGTAGGTTGGGGATTTAGCTCAGTGGTAGAGTGCTTGCCTAGCAAGCACAAGGCCCTGAGTTCGATCTTCAGCTCAAAAAAAAAAAAAAAAACAAAAAAAACGCCACGGTGGAGACATTTGACTACATTCTGTGTGAGACTGAAGTTGCCCCTGAGGCTGGTCAGAGCACTTGCTACCAAGCCTGGGTTCGATCTCGGGGTCTGTGTGGTGGACGGTGTGAACCGGTTCCCTCAGATTGTCATCTGACGTCTCCATGCATGCTGTGGCATGTCTCACCCTCTATAAAAATACAATTTCCTGTCACTGCCTACAGGACAAAGGAAAGAAGACCTAACCACTCAGCTGAGTCGTTGACCGGGCTGGCCTCAGACCGAGCGCTGGCTGGGTAGGATTAAAGGCCTGGGCCACCACTGCCCAGTGGATATAACCTTTTATAGAACGGAACAACTCAAAACTGAAAACAGAGTGAGAAGATATTTCTTTGAGTGTTGCTTGAATGTGTTTCATGTTGGGGTGTGTGTGTGCGTCTGTGTATGTATCTGTGTGTGTGTGCGTCTGTGTGGGGAGGCCAGAGGTCAACACTGGTGATATCTTCAATTGCTTTCCACCTTATTCTCCTTCCTTTTTTTTTTTTCCCCTTGAGATAGGGTTTTTCTCCTGGTTGTCCTTGAACTCGCTCTGTAGCCCAGGCTGGCCTCGAACTCACAGAGATCCTCCTGGCTCTGCCTCTGGAGTGCTGGGATTAAAGGTGTGCTCCATTACTGCCTGTCTTCTTATTTTCTTTTTGAGACAGGGTCTCCCATCAAACCCAGAGTTCTGATAACTGGGCTAGACCGGCTGGCTAGCAGGCTGCAGGGCCTCTCCTGTCTGTCTGTCTGTCTGTGCATCCCCCCATCTCCGAGCTGGGGTTATAGGTCCATGCTACCTCAATCTGCTCTTTTCATGGATTCTGGAGGATGGAACTCAAATCCTCATGTATACATAGCAAGTACTCCAACTGAGCACCTCTCCAATCTGTCTTTGTTTCTAGTCTTTCTTTCTTTCTTTCTTTCTTTCTTTCTTTCTTTCTTTCTTTCTTTCTTTCTTTCTTTCTTTCTTTCTTTCTTTCTTTCTTTCTTTCTCTTTCTTTCTTTCTTTCTTTCTCTTTTCCTTCCTTTCTCTCTCTCTTTCTTTCTTTCTTTCTTTCTTTCTTTTTCTTTTTCTTTTCTTTTTGGTTTTTTGAGACAGAATTTCCCTGTGTAATAGCCCTGGATATCCTTGAACTTGCTCTACAGACCAGGCTGGCTTCGAACTTAAAGAAATCCTTCGGCCTCTGCCTCCCCTTCCCTCGAGTGCTGGGACTGAAGGCGCGTGCCACCACTGCCCGGTCGACTTTGCACTCTTGATCCTACTGCCTCAGTTTCCCAAGTGCCAGAACCATGGGCATGTAACACAGTTTGGGCTTGAAAAGACTTTGTTAGTTATGAAAAACAGGAGGAAGAACACTGAAATCTTCCATTGCCCCAAGACCAGATCTTTGACTCAAGAAGCAGGATTACAGATGTCTTAAGTATTATCTCCCTGCTAATTACATCGGGAGCTCTGAGGGGCAGAGCCTGTGTCTTTTTCAGTTGGTTTTTTGTTTGTTTGTTTGTTTGTTTTTTACATTTCCTTATTTAGAGCAGGGGGAGGGGAGGCATGTGGGTGCCATAGTGTGTGTGTGTGTGTGTGTGTGTGTGTGTGTGTGTGTGTGTGTGTGTGTGTGTGTGTGTGCAGGCCAGAGGACAACTTGTAGAAGTGAGTCCTCGCCTTTCACCATGTGGGTTCCAGGAACTGAACTTAGGCTCTCAAGCTTGGCAGGCAGCAAGCACCTCTATTTGCTGAACCGACGCTCCAGCCGCCCATTCATATTTTTCTGTCTTCCACGGCACCTAGCACAGCATCTTACACAGAGTAGACACACAGCTGGTTTTTTTGAGTAAATGAATTTATTTTTTATACTGGAAATCCTTGCCTTGGAGCAAAGCAAGTTTCAAGCCTCTCTAAGCCATTACTATCTCCAGCTAAAAATCACCAGCTGAGGGGACCGGGCACAGAGAACCCAGAGATTCAAGCAAAGGGAATTGATAACAGACTCTTCCAGTTCATACCCCTGGCTTGCCTGAAGCAAGCTGCTGTGACAAACATCTCCAGGGCCCTGTTTGGACTGGCCTAAGGATGGTAGACACCTGAGTAAGAGTCATTCCCCAGCAGATGTATATTCCAGGCCTCCATTGTGCTCGGCACCCATCTAGGCACTAGGGGTGGATGTGGATGTGGGTGTGACTCTCTGCCTAAAATGGTGATGATAGGCTGGTGGGAGCCTTGTTTTGACCACATAACAAGTGCACTGGGAAATCTTGAGTGTCCTGGTTGGTTTTGTTGTTTGGTTGTTTGGTTTTTAAATCTCAGGCACATTTTGGCTTCATACGTGATCCCACAGGCAGGATATGCAAACCAAGTGTTTCACCACTTTGGAGGAAGGGTGTATGGCAAGATCCTCTAATGTTAAATGGGAGCTCACTTAATGAATTCACCAAGATGACTGTTATGGATGTAACCCATGAAAGGTGATGATGGGCTCCCCATCTTTCTGCTCCGTATCTATTCTAAAGTTGCTAACTTCTCTCAGCCCTGGCTATGGCTCCTAATTGCTCCTAGTTGGGCCTAACACCCCTAACACACGGGGTGGGGGAGCACACTAGCTCCCCACCTCAAGCCGTGGTGGCAGTGGCATGATATCTTTGGTTCGTGTGTATTTCCTACTTGCATCTTTAAGACGCACAGCCCTAGAACTCTTCCTCAGCCAAGGCTCAAAAAGCCCCAGCCAACTTATTTAAAGCACTTCTTGCCCCGGGTCCAGCAGGATGGGAACTCACTCAAACCCAGTTGTTTGGAAACCACCGCATCTGACCAGTCTTCCTTCCCCTCCACAGTCCACCCTCTCACATGGCAGGCCCGGAGACACCCTTAAAGTTCATCGCTCTCCACTACACTCCGAGAAGTGCAGGAATACACCATCGTGCTTTCCACGGAGGAGAAGGCAGAGAAGATGTCAAGTCCTTTGCTGGTGAGGGATCCGTAGCGGTTGCCACTGGGCCGGATGGACATGGGTGGTGGGATCTGCTGGTGCCACTGAGCTGGGAAATGAACCAAAGAAAATGTTATGGTCAAAGGAATCAGTGGGAGGGACACTGATACCCCATCTCTAAGAGGAACATTAAAGCCTTCCTGCCGCCGGGTTGGCGGTGTACTCCCATAATCCCAGCACTTGGGAAGTAGATACAGGAGGATCAGGAGTAGATACAGGAGGATCAGGAGTAGATACAGGAGGATCAGAAGCTTTTATAGGGCAAAAGACACGGTCAATAAGACAAAAACACAGCCTACAGAATGGGAAAAGACCTTCACCAACCCCACATCTGACAGAGGACTGATCTCCACAGTATGTAAAGAACTCAAGAAACTAGACATCAAAATACTGAACAATCCAATTAAAAAATGGGCTAAAGAGCTAAACAGAAAATTCACAAAAGAAACATCTCAAATGGCTGAAAGACATTTAAGGAAATGCTCAACGTCCTTAGTCATCAGAGAAATGCAAATCTAAACGACTCTGAGATACCACCTTGCACCTGTCAGAATGGCTATGACCAAAAACCCTAATGACAGTCTATGTTGGAGAGGATGCGGAGCAAAGGGAACACTCTTCCACTGTTGGTGGGAATGCAAACTTGTACAAGTACTGTAGAAATCAGTATGGAGGTTTCTCAGAAAATTGGGAATCGATCTACCTCAAGACCCAGCCATACCACTCTTGGGCATATACCCAAGGAATGCTCAATCATACCACAAAGATACATACTTAACTATGTTCATAGCAGCACTATTTGTAATAGCCAGAACCTGGAAACAACCTAGATGCCCGTCAACTGAAGAATGGATTAAGAAAATGTGGTACATATACACAGTGGAGTACTACTCAGCAGAGAAAAACAATGACAGCATGAAATTTGCAGGCAAATGGTTGGAACTAGAAAATATCATCCTGAGTGAGGTGACCCAAACCCAGAAGGACAAACATGGTATGTACTCACTCATAAGTGGATACTAGATATAAAGTAAAGAACAATCAAACTGCAACCCACAGAACCAGGGAAGCTACCTAGCAGGGGGACCCTAGGATGACTGTGGCTTATAATAAGTTTTGGTTTTACTCAATCACTGGGCAAGCTTCAGTGAAACATTTCACTATTTAAGAATTTGTACTGTATTAAGCTAATGATAGGAAAAATAAAATAAAATAAAAAGCTATTTAAAAAATATGGTCAAAGGAATCAGTGGGAGGAACATTGATACCCCATCTCTAAAAGGAACATTAAAACCCTCCTGCTGCCAGGTTGGCGGTGTACTCCCTTAATCCCAGCACTTGGGAAGTAGATACAGGAGGATCAGGAGTTCAAATCCAGTCTTGGCTACATAGCAAGTTTGAGGTCAGTCTGGGCTTTGTGAGACCCTGTCTAAAATGGAGGTCATACAGGGAGACAGGGAGAATTATGGAGGCGTTAGAAGAGAAAGGAGCCCCTTATCCAGGAACGAACCTCTCACCAGCTGGGAAGCAAAATGGTCAGCAAAGGGCCAGGCATGGTAGAGCCCACCTTTAATCCCAGCACTCGGAAGGCAGAGGCAGGTGGATCTATGTGAGGTCAAGGTCAGCCTGGTTTACATAGAGTTGCAGGCCAGCTAGGGTTGTATAGGTGAGACCTTGTCTCAGAACAAACAACAACAACAACAAAATCCAGCATAATTAATAAAATTAATAACTACTTATTTCGTTTTCACCTTCCCAGCTGGAAGTCTTTAATTTTCAGATCCAGGGATCGGACTCCCTCTTCTGGCCTCCACAGGCATGTGCATTTACTTGGCACACACAGATACACATAAATAAAAATAATCTCAAAAAAAAAAAAAAAAAGACACTCTAACCCTATCTTCTCTGTCTTCTTGATAAGTGAGATTATAGAAGGACTCTGGAGATGGCTTCAGAATTGTAATCTGATAAGGTAAATTTGTGAGCCACTAAGGTTGAACATGGAATTTAATACATGTCCTTTTCTTTCTTTCTTTCTTTTTTTCCTTTGTTTTTGGTTTTTCAAGACAGGGCTTCTCTGTGTAGTCCTGGCTGTCCTGGAACTTGCTTTTGTATAGCCCAGGCTGGCCTCGAACTCAGAGATTCACCTGCCTCTACCTCCCAAGTGCTGGGATTAAAGACATGCGCCACCACCGCCCCATGTTATATGTCCCTTTCTTGTAAATGGAGTTTCTGCTGGAATTCCTAGAAAAAAAGAAGGAGTAGCAAGATGGTAAAGGCATTTGATGCCAAGTCTGACCACTTGATTCTCAAAAAAAACCAAAAACAATAACAAAAGCAAATGGCAGGGAGAAGCCATCTTCCAAGCATGACAGATAATGTAATCTATCTAATTTACGCATGGAACATTGTACAATCATCTTTAAAAATCATTTTTAAGCTGTTGCACATGCACAGATGTTCCTTGAATGACGTCATACTTACCGTATATATCCAACCTAGCTGTGCAGGACACAATGCCAGCTTCGTTCTTGGCTGACAGGGTATACCACCCGGCGTCAGATTTCTTGGCTGGCTGAATGAGGAGGCAGACGTAACCTGTGGTGTCCTGGTGCATGCTGGAGAAGAGAAAGAGCACATTCACCTTTAACTCCGCGGCTGCAGAAACACCTTGGTCAACCTTAGGCCTGGAGATAGTCTCAGAGGAGGGAACGGGGGACATTAGCTTCTTAACCAAAGCCTGGAAAAGCCTTCACCTTGCCCCCTCACTTTCTTCTTCTCCCTTGCTCCCTCAGCCCCCTCCCTCTCTTTGAGACAGAGCCTCCTGGCTGGGTCTGGAACTTGCTAGATAGATCAAGCTAGCCTCAACTCAGAGATCCTCCTGCCTCTTCTTGCTACTGAATTCAGCCCTCTACTCCTCCCCCTCCTAAAGATTTATTAATTTGAGTATGTATGTATGTATGTATGTATGTATGTATGCACACCACATATACACTGATAGCCAGAAGAGGCATCAGATCCTCTGGAACTAGAGTTTCAGAGGGCTGTGAGCCCTCAACTGGTGAGCCGTCTCTCTACTACCACGCCTTTTTGAGACGGTCTCATGGAGCCCAGAGTGACCTTGAACTCACCAGGTATCAAAGAACTTGAACTCCTGACCCTCTAGCCTCTGCCTCCCAAATGCTGGGATATGCCATCCTACCTAGCCCCTAACACAGCTTTGTGCTTATTAAAAAAAAAAATTACAACTTTTCCAGGTCCTAATATGATTGGGAATATGACAAAAATATGCCAGATCTTACATGTTCCTCCTATAGTTTTTAAGATGTATTATTTCCACGTATGTGAGTGTGTGTACGCTTCTGTATATTTATGTTCTCCATGTACATGCAGGAGCTTGTGGAGGCCTTAAGTGGGTGTTGGGCCCCTTAGAACTAGAGTTATAGGCAGCTGTGATTCACCTAGTGTGGATGCTGGAAATTGAACTCGGGTCCTCTTAACTGCTGAGCCATCTTTCCAGCCCCTGCCCCGACCCTGTATATTTTTAAAAACTTCTTTTCATTCTGGAGACAGTGTCTCATAGAGCCCAGAATAGCTTCAGACTTGCTATGTAGCCAAGTTGATAACTTCGGACTCCTGATCCTACCTCAGTATTTTCCCTGAGTAGGGGGAATGTGGGTATGCTACCACACCTTGGACACTTGTAGTCAGTATTACACTTTCTTTCTCTGGTAAACATACTTTTATTAGGCAAAGTGAGAAGGAAAAAAAAAAAAAGACTTCTGAGCGCGGGAGGGGCTCCAAGGGAAGAATACCACTGCCTCCCCACCCCCCACCCCCCACCCCCCACCCCCGCTTTGAGACCGAGTCTCACTCTGATCTAGGCTGACTTGGAACGCACTCCGTAGCCCAGGCAGGCTTGGAACATGTGCGACTGACTGATACTCGGGAGCACGGTACGAAATGAAAGAAACCAACTGCAGAAGGCTGCAGGCTTATTCGGATGGCCCCCCAGGCCTCTCGGAGCGTGGAGGTCTCCACGGAGGCGGCGCCCGCCCGCTGTACCTGATCCTCTCTCTAGTGAAAGGGATGGTCTCATTGTCCTTCTTCCAGTAGAACACGGGCGGGGGCATGCCTATGACGCGGCACTCCAGTCTCACCGGGTGACCCTCGGGAACGCCACTGTTTTGGAGTTTCTCCAGGATCATGGGGGCTTTCTTCACCTCTTTGGCTAGACAAGAGAAATCAGTTTTCTATTTCAATAGCAGTAGCAAGTGCCTTGAGGTTTCTGCCTCAGACTCATCGCGTTCTTTATTATAGTTTTTGAGACAGGGTCCCACTGTATCGGCTGTCCTGGAACTTGCCTTGTAGACCAGGCTGGTTTGGAACTTTGCCTCTGCCTTCCAGATGCTGGGAAGAAAGGCATGCGCCACCATACCCATCCAGAAATAGTGACTTAAAACAAAACAAAACTCAGCGACTTTTAATCCCAGCACTCAGGAGGCAGAAGCAGGCAGATCTCTGTGAGTTTGAGGCCAGTATGGTCTACAGAGCTAGTTTTAGGACACTCAGGGCTATACAGAGAAACACTGTCTCGAAAAATAAAAAACAAAAAACAACCAAAAAAAAGTTTTTCAAAATTACATCTAATTAATTCATTTGCAAGTAGGTGTTTGTGTGTGTCTGCTTTTGTGTGCATGGGTGTATATTTGTGTGTATGTTTTTGGGTGCCTGTGCACGTGTTCCTGTTCATGGGTTTGTGTGTCTCTGTGTGTGTGTGAGTGCTTGTGTGAGTGTGTGTGTTTGCAAGCCTCCAACTGCCATCAGAGTCCGAAGACAGCTTTGGTCAGGAGTCACTTCTCCTCTTGCATCGTGTGGGTCCCAGGGATCGAATTCAGGTTAGAACACTTGGCAGCATGCGCCTTTACCCACTAAGCCATCTCCATAGCCAAACAATGACTCTTGAGAACATAATCCACGTACTGAAACTGATTTTTTTTTTGAGGACTTTATTTCATAGTAAGTAAATTTTCCCCCAACTTAAAATTCTTTGTTTACTTCTTACTTATGTATATGAATGTGAGTCTGGGTGAGTTTATATGCACCATGTGCATTCAGGAACCCTTGCAGGCTAGGCAGGACTTCACAACCCCTGGAACAGGAGCAATAGGCTATTGTGAGCTGCCATGTGGGTGTTAGGAGCCAAACCCAGGTCCTCGGCATGAGCAACAAGTGTTCTAACCACTGTGCCACCTCTCCAGCTCCCAACCAACGACGTTTTCCATCTGGTCACATTGTCATTTTTCTATTTTTGCATGTTCCCTCCCATAAATGTATTTGGAATAAAAACCTTTACGAAATCATGCATCCCAAGAATATAGCCTCGTCTATCAAAGTCATTGTTTTAGAAACATGGAAAAAAGGGAGAAACTGGCAGCAGAACAAGGGTTTCCTATTCTGTTGGTGAGACTAAATTAAGAGCGAAGGGAAAGCGTTTACAGGAGAGCAGTCACTGACTGAGAAGGGGAACAGCAGTGCTGACTCGGTTGGTTTTCTTCCTTTCTTTTTTTTTTTCTTTTCCTAAGTCAAGGTTTCTCTGTGTAGCCCTGGCTGTCCTGGAACTCACTCTATAGACCAGGCTGGCCTCAAACTCAGAGATCTGCCTGCCTCTGCCTCCTGAGTGCTGGGACTGCCTACTTCGGGTTGGTTTATTTAATGGTTTCCCTTCCCCCGGTGGGAGGAAGCCTAGCACTCAGATTCCCATTAGCCCACGGCCCTTCAGCTGATGATGTCTTCCTGCCCTTTTCTGTAGGCGTTGCTGGGTTCTATTCACATCGTCTTATCAGGTGAAGGCTCATTGGTTTTGCGATTCAACATTTGATGAGCACCTTCCACTGAGGCACACATCCGAGAAACACAACAAACCAGAGTCCCGGGAAACGGCTCCGTGGGTAAGGGTGCTTGCCATTAAGCCCGAAGACCTGAGTTTAACCCCCCAGGCCTGCATGCTGGAAAGAGCCAGCCTACTTCTGCAAGCTGTACTCTGACCACCACACGCAGGCTATGGCACACCCGCCCCCTTCTGCATAAGTAAAAACACAACACAGCAGAGCAGAGCCTCTGGCCTCAGAAGCTCAGGGTCTGCAGGGAGGCAGCACAGCACACAATTAACATGGTAGTCTGCGGGCCCTCTGTGATTACTGACCATTCTTGTGCCATGGAAACCCAGAGGAGGTAGCAAGGGGCTGCCTGGAGAACCCACTGTGCCCGGGTGATGACACTAGACGTCGGCCTTTACGTTTTATTCATTCCTATTTTTATTTTTGAGAGAAGGCTTCAGGTGGCCAGGCTGGTTTCCACTTCACCCTGTAGGATGACCGCCTAGCCCACCTCCCTAGCGCTGGGTGTCAGGTGTATGCCACCACACCTGGTCTAAGGGGGCTCTGTGTGCTCTCGGGCACGCTCTCAACTGAGCTGATAAATGCCTGGTCCTGAAGCTAGGCTTTATGGAATAGAGGAGTGCTGGGTAAAGAATATTCCAGTTCACAGGACCACTGGTGTAATGCAAAGGTTTGTAACTCAGGGGACAAAAGAGCCTAGCGTGTTCCAGGAATCACAGACTGAAGGGCAAAGGACTGGAATTCAGTGACAGCTAATTAAATAACTCGTTGATTGCTTAGTCAATTATTGAAATTGCTCCCGTTGGTCGTATGATTAAAATGAAGAAGCAACCGAATTGCATTTCTAGATTACGATGTATCTCAGAAAACAGTGTAGAAAATAGGGTCTACTACAGTGAAGGGGAAACAGATCGGTGGGGCGAGGGAGTCTGGAATTCTGTCAGAGCATCTGAGTGTTTGGACAGTCAGTTCCAAGAGAGTTCTGCCTAGGAGTCAGTCCCACAGCGAACCTTACCTACTACAGTGAGCTCCAAACTAAAGGAATTCTGCCCGGTTTTGTTGGTTGCCACGCATGTATAGGTCCCTGCGTCTCGTTGGGTGAGCGGGTCGATGAGCAGAGAGTGGACTCCTGTCTCTCGGACCAGCATCTTGTGGGAGGCGTCTGGTAGCACAGGTTGCCCATTGAGCAGCCACGTCAGCTCCGGGGGCGGCAAGCCACTCACCTACCAACCAAGAGAACAGCTGACGCCGGCTGATTTGGTGAGTGAATTCTTTGTCCTTATTGGCACCAATTACATAGTAAAGAAAAACACAGAGGGCTGGGGACTCTGCAGCGGCCTTGGAGGAGGGAATCTGAGTAAATGATGCTGTGAGTTTGAACTGTGTGGAATCCTGGCCCCATTTCAGCCACGATGAATCCATGTGATTATGTCCCAGAGCAGAACAATGATAGTAGATAAAACAGGCCCGTGGCATCAGTAAGAGAGCTGACGTCGGCTTAGACACCGGAGTTAGAGAAAAGTCAGATACTAAATCAAAGTTCTCAAGTTTTTCTCACGGATTATCTAAAAAAGAATCTTGACGCCGGACTATGGGGGGGGGGGGATCTTGATGCCTAATTATAATATTAAACCAGAATTTCTGGAGATGGGAGCCGGACACTGGTAGTTTTTGAAGTTTAGAGGCAGGAGAGCGTACAACCTGAGTATTATTTAGACAGCAACTGGGTGGGGGGGGATAAGAGCAGTGCACAGAACGGAGTTCCCTGCACATGCTTTACCTCCAGCCTTCACTGACTTGCACCTACTTTTCCCACAGCACCCTTCATGGTTGCCTGGGGTAGAGCGGTGACGTCAGTGTCTTGTACGGAGAGGGCGCTGCCCTGCCCACATGAAGCCTCATTTCAGGTTGGGACTTAGAATGCAGAGTCACAAAAGGTGACCGAGGTGGCTTAGGGTGAGAAAATGACCTCTGTTCGCTCTAAATGCTTTGGCTTTATCTTCTCACACCTATGATTTTCCGAAGTTCCTCCCCTCCCTAAACCAAAGATGCAAAAAAAAATTTCAAACTTCCGGATTCACAGTACTAGAGGATTCCAGGGACCATATGGAAAAGTTCACAATTTATCTCTCTCTGGTTATCGTCTCATAATGAAGAATTGACTTATATGGTGCTCACACAAAACTGTTTTTTCTTTAAAATGTTTATGCTTACACAATTTTTTATTAAGATATGGTGATTTAAGATTTTAATGACATATTTGTGTATGGAATTAAAAAGATCAAATGCTCTAAAAGAGCCTATGGAGGGGACAATTTTCCTCCCTTCCCTAGGACCTTTTCATCTGGGAGAAAACCCCACAAAACTAATACAAACAAAAATGAGTGTAAACAAATAACTAGATGAAAACTCTGGACAGGCCTGGAGCTAAGGACAGGTGTTGGGAAATACCTTACAGTCCAGCCGACAGAGGCGGCCCTCGTGAGCCACCATGTCCCCTGGGGCCTGCAGGAAATGTGGTCGGAAAAAGCGTTCCTGTAGAGGTTCTTTGTCTCTTTCCTGCATTCTGGACCTTCCCCTACAAGAAGCATTTACAAACGTGTAACAATAACCACATGCATTTAGAAATGGCAATAATGAGACAGAGTCTCCTGTAGCTCCGGCTGGCCTTGAGCTCAATAAGTAATCCAGGGCGACCTTGAACTGGCCCTCCTGTCTCTACCTCCTGAGTGCTACATTACAGGTATGCATTGTTAGGCCCAGTTTATGTGGTGCTGGGGATGGAACCCAGGACGTGGTGCATGCTAGGTAAGCACCAAATGAGCCACAGCCTAGAATAGAAAGGATGTGCTGGACAGTCAATCAATCATCAGTCAATCAATCAACACAGCTTAGAACTGATATAAATACACACACACACACACACACACACACACACAAGCCAAACAAAACCAAAACCAAATAAAACCAAAACTCCTTGTGGCAAGTATCCTATACACTGTAGTATCATCTCTAAACTCTGAAATTAAGGAAATAGGCTCAGGGCTGGTGCCTCTAGAGGACCCAAGTTCATTCCCAGCACCTATGCTGGACGGCTCACAACCACCTGTGACGTCGGCTTCCGAGCATCCAATGTCCCTGCACTCACGTGCACATATCCCACATACCCCGCCCATACACACAATTAAAAATAATAGAAGCCGGGCGATGGTGGTGCACGCCTTTAATCCCAGCACTCGGGAGGCAGAGCCAGGCGGATCTCTGTGAGTTTGAGGCCAGCCTGGTCTACAGAGTGAGTTCCAGGAAAGGCGCTAAGCTACACAGAGAAACCCTGTCTCGAAAAAACCAAAAAAAAAAAAAATAAAAAAAAAATAATAATAATAATAGAAATAACATAAGCAAGCTTTAGTTCCTTTCTCTCTGAAGTCATTCAGCATTAATCGGCTTAGCTCCCTACGCTGTGGGCTTTGGCACTTGCTGAAAAATCATCACAGTAAACAAATAAATCAGTACTCCATCTGAGAGCCCAAAGAGAGGGCTTGTCCATCTCCCAGAACAGGATGGCTGTGACCACAATAAAATGCAGCCTGGCAATAAATTATGGCTGATAATTAAAGATGACCATGAACTTGAACTCAGTCACAGTGACCAACAGTAACAGCTGTTCTTGAAAACAAAACAAGATAAAGGAGGCGGCAGAGAAGTAGTGAAGCATTGTGTGAACCATGAGTCTTTAATTTTTGTTCCTTTGGTAAGTCCTTTAATTCATCAGTCTCAGCAACGATCTGCTGAGACTTTGTGGCACCCTAAGACTCAAGGGGAAAGAAAGCCAGGCTCTTTCTCATTAGTAGCTCATAAAATCTGAGAAAAAAACCAGGTATCATGGAGACGACTGCGGAAATATTCAGCCCCCAAGTTTCTGCCTGGTGATAGAAAAGCTGGTAGTTTCAAAGGGTCTCATGGCGCATTATGTGCGTGAGTGTTACTAATGGTTACAATGTTTTAAACCGTTACAATTGTACCAAAGGGTCTGGGAATGTAGTTCAAATGGGCTAGTGCCTGCTTAGCATGCATGAAGCTCTGCGTTCCTTCCCCAGCGTCACAAGTACTGGGTGTGGTGGCGCACACCTCTAATCCCAACACTTAGGAGGTGAAGGCAGAAGTATCAATTTTAAGTCATCCTCTGCTATATTTGAGGTCAGCCTGGGCTACATGGGAGCCTGTCTTAAGAAAAAAAAGAAAAGAAAAAAAAAAGAGGGAAAGTGCCAGAGCCTGGAGCATCTCAAATGTAAGCATGCCGTGCATTTCCTGGGGATTCTGACTTGGATGCTCTGGGCCAGGCTGGATGGCTGTATTCCAAAGAACCCCCTGGTGGTGACGCTTCGGTGTGTGCGGTACACTTTAGCAGTGATTCACTGTGGTAAGTGGAGGTGTGGGAGGAGTCCAGAAAAGGAGGATTTCCCGCTTTACCTGTGAGACTGACCCGCAGGGCTGAGTCTATTTCGAATGGGCAAACTCTGTACCATCAAGTGGCCAGAACAGCTGATTCTCCCCTGAGAAGCAGAAAACAAACAAGATTTAAATAAGGAGAAATCCACATTTTTTTCTAATTTATATAAATGTTTTCTTCACCAAAGCATTATACATTTTTTTCTAACAATGAAGAGATTTTCTTGCTCAAGAGCAATGAAAATAATATTCTTTTTGTTTTGTTTTGTTTTTGAGACAGGGTTTCTCTGTGTAACCATGGCTGTCCTGGAACTCACTTTGTAGACCAGGCTAGCCTGGAACTCAGAGATCTGCCTGCCTCTACTTCCTGAGTGCTGGGATTAAAGGCACATGATAACACCACCCAGCTAAAAACAATGCAACTTTTGGTGTGTGTGTGTGTGTATGTGTATGGTGTGTGTGTGTTGAGGTTCATTTACCTGTGTGTGCTGAGGCCTTGATGCTGGGAGTCTTCCTAGACGGCCCTCCACCTTGGCCACAGAGGTAGGATCTCTCAGTTGAACCCAGAGCTTGCAGATATGACCAGTGTGGCTAGTAGCTTGCACTGGGGGGGTCCCCTATCTCTGCCTTTCCGGGCTTGAATTCCAGGTGGGCCACCACACCCACCCAGCATTCACAGGAGCTCTGATCCCCACACTTGTACAATGAGTGCTTCAAAATTCTGGCTTCCAGATGTTGGAGAGATGGCTCAGAGGTTAAGAGCACTAGATGCTCTTGCAGAGGTCCTGAGTTCAGTTCCCAGCAACCACATGGTGGCTCACACCATCTGTAATGAGATCTGATGCCCTCTTCTGGCCTGCAGGCAGAACACTACATGCATAATAAAGAAATAAAAAAAAAAAATCTGGTTTCTGGGACTGGAGAGATGGCTCAGAAGTTGAGAGCTTACTGTTCTTTCAGATGACCAGAGCTGTTCCCAGCACCCACATGATCACCTGGAATTCTAGTTCTAGGGGACCTGACACCCTCTTCTGGTCCCTGAGGGCATATGCATCACACACACACAATCCTTAAAATATATAGATACATGACTTCTATTGTTTATTATTATCAGGGGTGTGTGTGTGTGTGTGTGTGTGTGTGTGTGTGTGTGTGTGTGTGTGTGTGTGTGTGTGCACATGCCATGCAACATTCTTGGTGAAGGTCAGAGGCCAACTTCGTGGAGTCACTTCTCTCCTACGGCTTTTACATAGGCTCTGGGGTTCAAACTCAGGTCACTGGGCTCATGTGACAAATGCCTTTACCCACTGACCCATCTTTCCAGACCCAAAAGGATTTCTTTCTTTCTTTTTTTTTTTTTTTTGGTTTTTTGAGACAGAGTTTTTCTGTGTAGCTTTGGGGTGGTTGGCCTTGAACTCACAGAGATCCACCTGCCTCTGCTTCCCAAGTGCTAGAATTAAAGGCGTGCACCACCACCACCACCACCCGGCCAAAAATGACTTCTTAAGCTACTACTGTTACTATTTCAAGGGGAGAGTTCTTAGGAGTGTTTTGATGTTTCCACTTTAACCCGAGAAGTGACAAGACACACATATTTTAAAAATGACCATTTCTCCCCGAATTTGACATCTTGTGCAGCAATAATTCAAAGAGCATGGTCAAGTATTTTTCTGCTTTCCTCAACAGAGACCCACCAAAACTGACACTTTAGCATGAAAACAGAAATTATGGCTTTATATTTTCCATCTGAATGGAAATTGAAAATATTCTGTCCTATTTTTTAGGGGAACTTTGAAAGTTGGCCTCATTCAGAAAAGAAAAATGCAAGATTACAGTTCTCCAACTTTTATCCACAAAGACAAAAAGTAAAAGAAAAATTTGACCTAAGTTTGAGAGATATTTAAAGCCTTTTTGAAGTAATTTTGTTCTCTAGGTTTACTTATTGTAATTTTTTTTAAAGATTTGTTTATGTGCATGAGTAGTTCGCTGGAATATGTATCTGTGCACCATCTGTGTGTCTGATTACTGGAAGTCAGAAGAGGCAGCCAGAACTCCTGGTCGGATGGTTGTGAGCTGCCGTGTGGGTGCTGGGAATTGAGCCCTGCTCCTCTGCAAGAACATCGAGTGCTATTAACCACTGATCGACCTCTCAGGCCCTCGTTTATTTATTTAATTTGTATTAATGTATATGTATCTGTGCTTGCCAGGGGTGTAGGTATCTTCAAAGGCCAGAAGAGGGCATTGGAGCCCATGGAGCTGGAGTTACAGATGGTTGTGGGCTATCTGATGTGGGTGCTGGGAACTGAACATGGGTCTTCTGGAAGAGCAGCAAATGCTCTTAACTACTGAGCCATCTCCCCAGCCCCTTTTTCATTTTGATTTGTTTTCTGTCTTCAAATTCAATGGACTGTGCCCTTGAACCGATCCTCCTTGGCCTTTGCTTCCTGAGGCACCCCCCCCCCCCATTATGCTTGCTTGTTTTTATGTGGTGTTGAGGATCAAACCCAGGGCCTCGTGCATGCTAGACAAGCACACTAAAAACTGAACTATGTCCCCCAGGATATAGTTCTGACAGCGCTCTCTGACAAGGGCAGCCAGTAGCAGGCGAGTCTCAATTCGACCCTGTGTTCTAGTTAGGCACAATCACAACACTTCTTGTTCCCTCTCCTCAGTACTCATCAAGGTCTTGTTCACAGTGATATCAGTCGCTCCTGCTGATATCCAGGAGCCTTGCAACCAACCTGGGGGTTGGCCGCCATGATGGTGTAGTTGCCGTCGTCATCGCCGTTGGTGGATTCAATGTGCAGAGAGCAGGTCCCGTCCCCTTCCCGCCTCATTTTACAGTGCTCATCTCTCTTAGAAATCTGCTTCCCGTCTTTGAACCAATAAACCTGGAGGTATTCAAGGAACTCTTGGTGAGGACATACTATTCCGTATCTCCAGAAAGGTGAGACAAAGGTCAAGCACCATCCCTGTTACAAGGCGAGTGTCTTTTGCAAACACTTAGAAAAATCATAAAACATATTCAAAACGACAGTATACTGTGCGCCTCCACCTGCACCTATACAATACTTAAGTAAAAAAAAAAATGATACTGGTTAGCATTGTGGTAAAGCTTTTGACCATCTTTATAGCACCTCATAATTAGCTTAAGGATGCTCTGAGGACTAAATACGTTTTCACAGGCAAAATAATGAACACAAGAAAACTGGATCTTCCGCCATTTGCTCTATGTCAGTCACGGAGCAGATGTAGGTCTGAGCACCCGGGACGGCTCACCGTGCTTGAAAGGCTAGCACCGTTTATTGGACCAAAAAGAATAAGGCTAGGATCAACTTGCTAAATTTACCCCCCTGGCCCAAAATCAAGCTCTAAGATTGAAATATACAGATTTGCTGTGCAAGTATTTCGGTGGTCGGCTCTGCACATTGTGAGGGTGAGCTCTCCAAGGCAGGGGGGATAAAGCGCTGGTTGGAGGCATCCTCTTCGCCTCTCCCTTGGTTACCTAACCATGTGTGGCACCATCACACTCATGTCTGTGAAAGCAGATCCCCTGCCACAGCCACACCGGGTGCAAATCCCTCCCTGACTGCCAAGGAATGTGGTGACTCAGAGGCTTGGTCAGCAGCCAGTGACGGGCACGGGGACATTCTTGGCATTTACTAACCTAACGGGAAGGACACCAATATAGCTCTCTCTGTGCAGCGAAAGGCACCCTGTGGGTGTCCAGTGGAAACTGAACACAATGGAAAATATTAACTGGCTGAGTTTGATGGCCAAGAGAGCCAATACTCCAAAATAAGACAGCATGACTAGGAAATTTCTCCTAAACTTTTGCTTTGTTTTTTTGTTGAGACAGGGTTTCTTTGTAGCTTTGGAGCCTGTCCTGGAACTCACTCTGTAGACCAGGCTGGCCTCAAACTCACAGAGATCGGCCTGGCTCTGCCTCCTGAGTGCTGGGTTAAAGGCCTGCATCACCATTGCCTGGCTCTTCTAAACTTTTTTTTTTTTTTTAAATTCTAACAAGGTTTGATGTGGTGGTGCACACCTTTAAACCCCAGCACTCCAGAGACAGAGGCAGGTGGATCTCTGTGACTTTGAGGCCAGCCTGGTCTATAGAGTGAGTCCCAGGCCAGTCAGGACTACATAATGAGAACCTGTCCAAAAAACAAACAAGTTTCCTTTTGCCCTAATGATCCTGTTCCTGGGCTCTGCTAATTTTTGAGTATTGTTTTTCACTTTCATTCCGTAGATGTTTCACTACAGTATGATAAGTTGTTTTTCGTTTGTTTCGTTTTGTTTTTCTGAGACAGGGTATCATGTAGCCTAGGCTGGCCTCAAACACACTATGTAGCCAAGTGTGGTCTTGAACTTCTGAGTCTCCTGAGTGTTGAGATTACAGGCATCACATGCATGCATCGCCATGTCCAGGTTTTGTTGTTTTTTGCTTTTGTTTGTTTGGTTTGGTTTGGGTTTTGATTTTTTTTTTTTTCCAGACACGGTTTCTCTGTGTAGTCCGGGCTGTTCTAGAACTTGCTTTGTAATAAAGGCTGGCCTTAAACACAGAGATCTGCTTGCCTCTGTCTCCCAAGTGCTGGGATTAAAGTTGTGTGCCGCCACCACCACCCAGCCAAGTTTCTGTTTTGTTTTTTGTTTTTTAAAATATGGTTTTGGGGATTAAACCCAGGGTTTCATGCATGCTGCATTCCAAGCCTGGTGTGTCTCTGGTGGGCGGAGGGTGTAGGAGGAGGCCAGAAGAGGGCATCTGATGCCCTGGAGCTGGAGTTACAGGTGCTTGTGAGCCACCCAAAGTGGGTGCCAGGCACTGAACTCCCATCCTGTAAAAGCCGCAAGTGCTGCCCTTGACTGAGAAGCCATCTCTCTAGCCCCCTGAGATCCCACCCCCCCCCCACCCCCGGTGCAGAAGACACATATAAGAGCCATGAGAGGCAAGAACTCTGCCAGTGAGCTACATCCCAGCCCCATGAGACTTTCCTGAAGACCTTGTGTACAGTTCCATGCTGTTGATCAACTGGGAGGCCATCTTCCCTACCTTTGGAACAGGTATCCCGACAATTTTGCAGGTGAAGGTGACTGGAGAGCCTTCCGTCACCCGGAAGTGCTTGAGTCTTTTGTCAAAGATGGGTGCGATGCACTTGCCCGTGGGGATTTCATCGTGCTGGATCTCGTCATCTGATTCGTCCACCGGGGTACGCTCCAGGCGGAACTCTATCTCATTCATCAGCCTCTGCTCAAAGCTTGAAATTTTATATTCCTGCCAAACGGAAGGGTGTGTTGCAATGTCTATGTAGAAAAACTTTATTAGCAGTAGTATGTAGGGGGGGCCATGCACGCATGCCAGGACACCATGTCAATGTACCAGACAGCTCTCTAGATTGGTTCTTGTCTTAGTTAGGGTTTCTTTTAAAATATATATATATATATATATAAATTTTTTTTTTGCATTTCTTTTTTTTTTTTTTTCCAGAGCTGAGGACCGAACCCAGGGCCTTGCACTTGCTAGGCAAGCGCTCTACCACTGAGCTAAATCCCCAACCCCTATTTATTTTTACTTTATGCATCTGGATGTTTTGCTTACACATACATCTGTGCAACATGTGCACGCCTTGAGCCGTCATGTGGGGGCTTGACATTGAACCCAGGTCTTCTGAAAAGACATACAGCACTCTTTACCACTGAGCCATCTCTCTGGCCTCTTCGTTGGGGCTTTACTGCTATGGTGAAGACTACGACCAAAAACCACTCTGGGAGGATAGGGTTTATTTCATCTTACAGCTTCCATCATCCAGGGAAGTCAGGGCAGGAACTCAAGGCAGCAACCCGAAGGCGGGAACTGAAGGAGAGGCCACGGAGTAATACTACTTACTGGCTTGCTCCTCGTGGTTGCTCAGTTTATTTTCTTATACAAACCAGGACCACCTGCCCAGGGGTGGCATCGCCCACAGTGGGCTGGGCCCTCTCACATCAATCACTAATCAAGACAATACCACGCAGACTTGCCTGCAGCCCAATCTGATGGGAGGCAGCTGGGCGGTGGTGGTGCATGCCTTTGATCCCAGTACTCAGGAGGCAGAGGCAGGTGGAGCTCTGTGAGTTTGAGGCCAGCCTGGTCTACAGAGTGAGTGCCAGACAGTCAGGGCTATACAGAGAAACCCTGTCTCAAAACACACACACACACACACACACACACACACACACACACACACACACACACACACAAAAATATCTGATGCTCTGAATAAAGTTGATTATTGCATGAGACTTTAGTCTGCCTCGTTTTTAGGCTCCATTCTCCCAGGTTTACTGCCAACTAGAGTGGTAAACACATACACATGCACACACACACACACACACACACACACACACACAGACACAAACACAGACACAGACAGGCACACAGAGACACACACACACACACACACACAGACACACACAGGCAGACAGGCACACACAGACACAGACACAGACACACACACACACAGGCAGACAGGCACACACAGACACAGACACACACACACACACATGCTTCTGTGTAATATGGCCAGTAGAGAACTCAAATAAATGACCTGTCCTTTCTAGATTTCTGGTCCCATAGAATTACAGCTGTTGTGCACAAAAGAAAATGAAAATCTGAAAGTAAAAATTTCAGGAGAAGATGCTACTTGAACCTCTAACTTCTTTTTTTTAAAGTGTAATCCTCTGAAGGGAGATGTGGTGCTTTGGGTGAGAATGGCCCCATAGGCTCATAGATTTAAATGCTTGGACCCCAGTTAGTGGTACTGTTTGGGAAGGATTAGGAGGTGTGGCCTTGTTGGAGGAGGTGTGGCACTGGGTGTGGGCTTTGGGGTTTCAAATGCTCCAGCCAGGCCCATTCTCTCTCTCCCTCTCTCCCTCTCCCTCTCCCTCTCCCTCTCTCTCTCCCTCTCTCTCTCTCTCTCCCCTTCTCCCTTTTTCCCTCTCCCTCTCCCTCCCCCTCCCTCTCTCCCTCTCCCTCTCCTTCTCCCCTTCCCTCTCCCTCTCTCCCTCTCTCCCCGCTGCCTATGGATCAGGATTTAAAGCTCTCAGCTACTTCTCCAATACTCTGCTTGTCTGCTTCCCAACTTGATCATGATTAACCCTACATTCTACCACTGAACTACAGTCTCAGCCCTTATCATGTCTTCTTTTTAAGTTAAGCTTTAATATATTAATATATCTGTATAGAGATACCACCTGTGGAATGCAGGCGTATATTGAGAGTCTTGGAATATGTCCCCCATGGGTAGCAGAGGACCACCCAATAGTCTATCACAGGTAAACACCTATAAACAAGTAAACTGACTTACGGGATTGGGGTGGTTCAGAGCTACCTACCTTCTCCATCAACAAGCTCCCCAGCTGACTCAGTGTGTGCTCTACCACGGAAGCTGTGATCAACCTCCTGAGAGCAGACGACCTCAGCACTCAAAGACTGTATCAAACAGAGTGATATCCTTAAAGCAACGTTTGAGTCCAACATTCTTACCTGTTGGTGTGATCTGACATCACCGAAATTCACTTTCTTCCCCAAGTCTAGAATCACCGAGTTCTTAGTCTCTCGGATGTAATCGTCACTCACTGCTTGAGGAGCCTTTGTGGTTTTCTTCATCAGACCCTGGGGTGGTCTGTAAAATAAATCCCCACCCTTATGAAGTGACTAGCCAGTGTCTAAGGATCCACAGGTCAGAGAGGGTAAAAGGACAACCTGACCTCAGCGCTCAGGGGATTAAATACTGTATGTAGAGGCATTTTATTTTATTGCGTAATTTTATTATTTTGAGACAAGAATTCATGTAGCCCAGGCTAGCCTTGAACTAGCTATGTAGTCAAGGATGACCTTGAACTTCTGATCCTCCCACCTTTGCCTCTCAGTGTTAGAATTACAGGTGTGCAAAGCACACCCAGTTTATAAGATACTGGACACGGAACCTAGGGCTTCATTCAAGCTGGGCAAGTGCTCTACCAAATCAACTGCAAACTTTTAATTGCCAGGCATGGGGGCACACACCTTTAATCCCAGCACTCCAGAGGCAGGTGGATCTCTGCGTTCCAGGCTAGCCTGGTCTACAGAGTGAGTTCCAGGATAGCCAGGGCTACGCAGAGAAACCCTATCTCAAAAAACAAAATTTGACAAAAAAGAAAAAAAGAAAGAAAGAAAGAAAAGAAAGGAAAGAATGCCCCTTGTCCTGAGGCATTCAATACCCGTTCTGTGTCTATTTGATAAGACTTTTTCAGAGGGCTGGAGAAATGGCTCAGCGATTAAGAGCACTGGCTGTTGTTGCAGAGGACCTGAGTTCAATTCCCAGCAACCACATGGTGGCTCCCAACCATCTGTAATGAGATCTGGCGCCCTCTTCTGGCATGTAGGCAGAACACTGTATATGTAATAAACCTTAAAAAAAAAAAGATTTTTTTTTTCAGAATCCATTCACTAAGAGTCCTGACTCAAACCAAGCTATTCTGTGCATGTGGCCCTGTTAACTGGCATCTCCAAACCTTCAAGACACTTACCCGGACGGTGCACTTTTAGGCAGCCCCATGGCATTGGTGGGTGGAATGGATGGGAGAGAAGGCAGAACCGAGCTGAGGAAAGCCACTGGGTTCTGAATCCGGCCGGTAGGAGAGACAGGAGTTGGGGACACACAGTGAGGCTGAAACTGGTGTCCACTGGGGATGGGATATGGGAGCGGCGGCGGTGGCGCTGCTGGCTCTGTTGGCCCTGGAGGAGCTGGCTCGTTTTGGATGGAGAGCCCTCCTGGAGATCTGCCTGGCGTGGAGGGGTGAGACAGTAACAGGCTTTCTTTGCTGACTGTCCTCTGAATTGTTTGAGGAGTGTTACTCAAGGTGAACACTGGGGAGCTGGATGGGGACGCAGAGGCCGTGGGAGTGCTTGAAGTGGGGAGGAAATGCTTCGGCCGGGCCAAGTTGAACGTCTGTGGTGCAGGACCCTTGACCTGCTTGCTGGAAATGGTCACTGCCGGGGGAGCCGAGTTCAAGACACTGAAGTTGAGAGGAGACTCCTTGGGTGATGAAGGAGATGCAGTTTGCAGCTGCTGCTGTTCCAGCAACACTTGGTTGTGAAGCTGCTGTAACTGAGAGGAGTCGCTGTGTGGAAAAAGAGCAGGGAGAGAGGAGAGACACGTTACCACCAGCCTCGCCCTTCAGAAAGCCTGCGGTCTGTCCTGGGGACGGAGTTCAGTTGGGAGAGCACTTAACCTAGCATGTGCAGAACTCTGGGTTCAATTCCCAGCACTGAATAAACCAGGCATCATGGTACCCACACACCTATAGTCCCAGCACTCAAGAGGTAGAGGCATAGGGGTGAAAGGTTCAGGGCCATCCTCAGCTACACAGTGAGCTTGTGGCCAGCCTGGGCTACAGCTGGCTATTTTAGATTGGGTGGGGGGGGGCACAGAGGGAGTAAGAGAGAGACAATAACAAAGAGAGACAGAGAGGGCCAAAGTGGCAAGACATCACCTAGTAAGGAGCTGCTGGTTTGTCTTTCCCTCTTGCTAAGGGAATCTCAAATATTCTGGTCTTTGTGCCGCCATACTACAGCCGTGCAACAGCGAGTGTTTATGAATTGAAAAAGAAAAGAAATTGAGACAGTGTTACTCGTGTGGCTACTGTTTAAAGTTACAATGGCCTTGGCTCCCAGCTTGGCCAGAAGGCAGGAAGGCATCTAGCTGCACACTGTGGTGATGTTTTGTTTGTGCTCTAACAAATAAAGCTTGCCTGGAGTTCAGAGTGCGGAGCTAAGCCGCTAGAGGCCAGGCAGTGGTGGCTCACACCTTTAATCCCAGCACTTGGGATATCATGCCTTTGATCCCAGTACTTGAGAGGCACATGCCTTTAATCCCAGCGCTTGGGAGGAGGAAACAGGAAATGATATGGCTGGGCGGAGAGAGGAAGTGATAAGGTGGGGTGAAGAAAGGAGCTCGGCCCGTTCGGTCTGAGGATTCGGCAGAGGTAAGAAGTCTCTCTAGTGGCTGCTCCTTTACTTCTCTGATCTTTCAGCTTTCACCCTGATATCTGACTCCAGGTCTTTATTATTAAGACCGATTAGAATGCATGCTACAGCACACAGGTGTGAGTTATTGTAAGCACTGAATTCTCCAAAAGAATATCTCCCGCTCCACCTGTGATGGGGGTGGAATCTAGGCCTTGGCGCATGCTAAGTAAATGCTCTACCACTGGGCTATACTCTCAGCCCTCCTTCAAAGCCAGTCTTAAGGAAGGATCCAAGTGTGTCTGAATGCTTCCCATCCTCTCCAGACAAGACTTTGGGTTTTTGGTATTTTTGTTTGTTTGTTTATTTATTTATTTTATTTTATTTTATTTATTTTTTTGGAGACAGGGTTTCTCTGTATAGCCCTGGATGTGCTGGAACTCACTCTGTAGACCAGCCTGGCCTTGAACTCACCAAGATCTGGCAGGCAAGGCTTTGTGCATAGGATGGTCCTATGTTCCTATTCAGTCAAAGCAGTTTTTCTCTAAACCTTTTTCAGCATTGTAATTATTACGGAGGTTAATTTTCACTCTCCAAAGTGCCCTACTGTGATGCTGTGTGTGGTGGGGCATGCCTTAATCCTAGCACTTGAGTGTTTGATGAAGGAGGATCAGGAGTTGAAGGCCAGCCTCAGCTATGTGTCAAGTTTCCTGCCAGTCCAGGCCACGTGACATTGTTTAAAAAAAAAAAAAAAGCTGTTGGGGAATATTATTTTAAGGTGTGTTACTTTTGTTTATGTTGCATTTGTTTAACCCTGTGAAGCGGTGTTACTGTGCCTGTCTAGAACACCCGATGGTCTAATAAAGAACTGGATAGCCAATATCTAAGCAGGAGAAAGGATGGGCGGGCTAGCAGGCAGAAAGAATTAATAGAAGGAGAAATCTGGGAGAGGAGAGATCTAGGAGCGAGAGAAGGAGGAGGACGTCAGGGCCAGCCACCCAGCTACACAACCAGCAATGGAGTAAGAAAGAAAGGTATACAAAAACAGAGAAAGGGAAAAGCCCAGAGGCAAAAGATAAATGGGTTAATTTAAAGTTAAGAAAAGCTGGCTAGAAATAAGCCAGGCATTCATAATTAAGAATAAGCCTCTAGCCGGGCTGTGGTACCACACACCCTTAATCACAGCACTCGGGAGGCAGAGGCAAGTCGATCTCTTTGAGTTCGGGGCCAACCTGGTCTACAGAGCGAGTTCCAGGACAGCCAGGACTATGCAGAGAAACCCTGTCTCGAAAACAAACAAACATTAAACATTTTCATTTCTATTTTGTTCATTTTGTTCTTTTGAGGACAGCCTCTCCCTTATATAGTTCCTGGCTGGCCTGGAACTCATTTATGTAGACCAAGCTAGCCTCGAACACGTAGAGATCTACTTCTCTGCCTCCCAGGGCACTGGGGTTAAAGACAGGTGCCTCTATGCTCAGATTTTTTTTTCATTTCTTCATTATTGAAAGATTAAACAATTAAGAAACAAGAGAGATGGTTCCGTAGGTAAAGGCACACGTTGCCAGACCTGATGACCTGCGTTTTATACCTGGGATCCATGTGTCTGAAGGAGAGACCAGACTACCAAAGCTGTCCCCTGATCTCCACAGGCATGCCATGGCACATGCATGCTCACACTTACATACACAAATACACATATAGAAATAATAAATAATTGTATTATAATTAAGAAGCAGAAATATCTTTGCTGCGTTTTCCTCAGCAAAGAATAAACAATTTTTACTGGTGCTGGCTTTCTCGTGATGCGAAAATGCAAAATACTAACTTTAATTTTTTTTTTTTTTAAATAATTTTTTTTAGATTTATTTATTTATTATGTATACAGCATGTATGACTGCAGGCCAGAAGAGGGCACCAGATCTCCTTACAGATGGCTGTGATTCAGCATGTGGTTGCTGGGAATTGAACTCAGGACCTCTGGAAGAGCAGTCAGTGCTCTTAACCTCTGAGCCATCTCTCCAGCCCTAACTTTAATATTTTGAGACAGGGTCTCCTATGCGCCCCCAGCTAACCTGGAGCTCTCAATCCCCCTGCCTCAGTCCCCTGAGTGCCGAAATTACAAGTGTACTGGCATCATAGCCTGTGGATTTTGAATTTTTGAGATTAAAGTATTAGTCAAATTATAAGCCTGGGTATCAAGTTTAAAGGTGGCTTTAGCAACAGTTTTGGATACTGTGTGTCAGTGATAACTCTTCCCTGGCCCTGAAGGCCATCTGCGATGGACCCAGTCCCAACAACCCACTCAGTGGCTTTCTCTTGGTGGCCTAAATTCATGTGGGAGAAGTTGACAACTCTAACTATTAGGGTTCTCTCACTCAATCAGTTGTTAAATGTTTCCCCAGCTGATCAGGACAACTAATTCTGAGCAGATGGACACTGCTTGACCAGTCCTCCCAGCTGGGGACTGTAAAGCACCCTGGCTGACTGAGGCACCAATGCTCAGGGAGCCAACTGGACCAGGAAGGAGTCTATACACTATGATAGTTACATATAGGTCAGCTGTTCTTCAATTTTAGCCAGCCTCAGAACCTGGTTAAAACACAGACTTTCAAGTTACCCAGAGTTTCTGACTCCACGGGTCAGGGCGGGACCTGAGAGCAATGCTGGGTGACTCTCATATGGAGTCTGGAGATAGGAAATGCTTGTCTAGCACTCAGGAAGTCCTAGGCTCAATTCCCAGCACCCCATAAAAACTGGGTGTCACGCCGGGCGGTGGTGGCGCACGCCTTTAATCCCAGCACTCGGGAGGCAGAGCCAGGCGGATCTCTGTGAGTTCGAGGCCAGCTTGGGCTACCAAGTGAGTTCCAGGAAAGGTGCAAAGCTACACACAGAAACCTTGTCTCGAAAAACCAAAAAACAAAAAACAAAAAACTGGGTGTCGTTGTGCACACCTGCAATCCCAGCAGGAAGGAAGAAGTAGAGGCAGAAGACTCAGAAGAAGGTCATCCTGGGCTCCATCGTAAATATAAAGCCAGCCTTGGCTACATGAGACTCTCTCTCAAAATAATAGCAACAAAAAGACACATTTGTCCCCAAAGCATAGGTTTTCTAGTTTTTCCTGACTTTTGTCTGCCAGTTTGCTCCTTTTTAAATGTTTATTTTTTTATTTTTTCATTTTTTTCCTGGACATGGAGGGATGAAGGGCAGGAAGAACGGCAACTCAGGTTATGTCTCTAAGTCTGGGTCAGTGGCTTCCAAACTGCTGTATATTAAAATCATCTGTGGAGACTGCCTCAATCAAGCCGGAAGGCATCGACAGATTTTTTTTTTAAATTCAGAAGCACTGGGGCTGGAGAGATGGCTCAGCGGTTAAGAGCATTGACTGCTCTTCCAGAAGACCCAGGTTCAATTCCCAGCACCCACATGGCGGCTCACAACTGTCTGTAACTCCAGTTCCAGGGGCTCTGACACCCTCACACAGAATATATACAGGCAAAACACCAGTGTACATTAAATAAATAAATAAATCTTAAAAAAAACATTCATACACAGAAACACTGCTTCAGACCACTTGATATTCAAGCTGCAAATTTCAAAAGGAGAATCATCTTGGCTCTGGGTAGACAGTGTTGAAAAATGCCAGGCCCCCTTTCCGTAGTAATTTAAAGATGAACGTTATCTCTGTGTTCCACATGAATGGCTAACTGATGGAATAAGAAAGGAACAGAAACACCTGCATCAGCTAACTGATGGAATAAGAGAGAAACAGAAACACCTGCATCGGTCAAATGAGCCTGTATTTTAATGTCTAGCAGTGAAATGCAGTGAAAACCAAGCAGGTTAAAACTAGTATGAGAAATCCCAATAGAGAAATGATAACTGAGGCCCTGACCTTGGGATTTATATGGATTGACAATTATACAGTGCATATACTGTATCAAAATGCCACACAATTATACAGTGCATATACTGTATCAAAATGCCACACAATACCCAGTAACTGTACAATTACTGTGTGTCAATTAAAAAAAAAAAAGAACACTAGGGGCCTGGAGAGTTGGCTCAGCAGTTAAGAGCACTGCCTGTTCTTCTGGAGGTTTAATTCCCAGCACCCACATGGTAGCTCACAACCGTCTGTAACTCCAGTTCCAGGGTATCCCACACCCCCTTCCTGCTTCTGTGGGCACTGCACATACATAGCACACACACACACACACACACACACACACACACACATATACATACATGCAGGCAAAATTCCTATACACATTAAGTAAAATCTTTTCTTAAGCTAGTAAGGAAAGATTGTAGGCTTGTGAGTTCACAGAGGGTGTGTATGTGTGTGCATATGCATGTATATTAATACCTATACTAATACAAACATAAATACAATTAAGAGGAAACTTAAGCCGGGCGGTGGTGGCGAACGCCTTTAATCCCAGCACTCGGGAGGCAGAGCCAGGCGGATCTCTGAGTTCGAGGCCAGCCTGGGCTACCGAGTGAGTTCCAGGAAAGGCGCAAAGCTACACAGAGAAACCCTGTCTTGAAAAAACCAAAAAAAAAAAAAAAAAAAAAAAAAGAGGAAACTTAAAAAGGCAAGGAATACTAAATGAATATATCGTGAGGAGGATTAGATTTTTAGAGGGTGTCATTCATTGCAAAAATACTTTTCTTAACTGGAAGTCTCTTATGACGGACATCACTGTCATAAGAGACTTTGCTTAGTAAGGAAGCTAATTTTTTTTTTTTTTTGTCATTAGGTTGAATTTCTTTGAGACAGGGTCTCATAGAGCCCAGCCTGGCCCTGAACTTGCTATATAGCTGAGGACAACCCAACCTCCTGATCCTCCTGCCTCTCCCTCTCCCTCTCCCTCTCCCAAACTGAGGACCGAACCCAGGGCCTTGTGCTTGCTAGGCAGGCACTCTACCACTGAGCTAAATCCCCAACCCCATGCTTCCACCCTCTACCTCTCATGTGGTAAGATCACAGGTGTCTGCTACTGTCCCTGGCTAAGAACATGCTTTTTATTTGGGTTTGGTTTGGTTTTTTTCATTGTTGCAATGTGTGTAACTAAAGACTACACTTCCCAGTCTCCTTTGCAGCTAGCACCCAGGTGACTCAATCCTAGCCAAAGAGATAAAATCAGAAGAAATTTGGGTGAGACCTCTAAGAAGGCACCTAAAAGAGGCTTCTAACACCAAGACTGTGACTCCTGCCCATGTGCTCCTTCTGCTCTTGAAATGACCACGCAATGGCTAGACCATGAGACATCTTGACCATGAGAGGTCCCAGCAAGGAAGCACATGCTGGTGATGGCAGAGCAGACGAAGGAGACTAGATCCTAACATCAGATCAGCCCCACAGGCTTCCCTTTATGTGAGAAAAAATAAATTCTTAGGTGTTTCACCTCTGTTACTTTAGGTTTTCAGTAACAATAGGCTCCACGTAATCTTAAATGACCCACCCTGACACAGTCTCTGGAGGAGAAAACCCCCTAGAGAGAGAAGGCGGGTCCTAAGGGAGTTGTTTGGTTGACCCATCTCCAAAGTCCCTTCTCTGAGAAGCATACCCAACTAAAAAACAAGACAGGGTGGGAAACCAGAGTTTCAAGTGAGATCTCCATATGGGTGCCAGGGCATAGGCCCCTCCCTCCCCACAAATAAAAAAATGTAATTTTTTTTGTTGTTTTTGCTTTTTTGTTTGTTTGTTTCCAGACAGGGTTCCTCTGTGTAGCAACACTAGCTGTCCTGGATCTCATTTTGTAGACAAGGCTGGCCTCAAACTTATAGAGATCTACTTGCCTCTGCCTCCTGAGTGCTTGGATTAAAGGTGTACACCACCATGCCTGTCTAATGTAATTTTTTTTTGTCCCCCGCCCCCTGTAATTTTTTTTTAAAGTTTAAAAAACAAGGAAGATGGGCTGAAGAGATGGCAGTTTCTCAGCAGTTAAGAGCACTGAGAAAACAGAAAGCTGATGAAGACGTAATCGAACAAGGGGGCCATGTTCCAGCCCCAGCAAGCAGCAGAACTTGGCAGCTTTGGCCACGTGGTTCTGGCTTGAGAGTCAAGGACACAAGAAAGGGGCCATGGAATCTCCCTCCATGACTAAGGAAATCTACTGAGGTCAGTAGGGCGTACGGCAGGGTGAGGACCGAAGTAAATAACGCGAATGGCACCTGGTGAGCATCTCCCCATCACCATAGAAGGACAAAGTGCAGGACCCGCTGCTGACGGTTTGCTCGCTGACACTAAAGGTTTATAGAATTATAAATACAGTTTCTATCACTATCTGTAATGCACGTTATCACTAGCTGCAATAGATCAACATGCTAAGGTCATGCCCTGTACTTGCTTGGCCGCAGGAGCACTGAACATGCACCATGGCTCTGACAGGGGCTCTGCAGAGAGTCGGGCTCCTGGGCTGAGACAGAAGACCAAGACTTCTTGCATCCCATCATACTTATACAGATGGTGCTGGGTTATACTCACTCGGCGTTAGCAAAGAACTATGACATCTACTGAAGAGCATCTCTAATGACTGTACAAGCTCCAGTTGATGCGGAGACACACGAGGACAGAAGAAGAGACTGTCGAGATGATTAGGTACAACAAAGAGCATGCTGTTCTGGGAGGAGTCCAGGCATGCTTTAGCTGGAGAACTCTAACATTAGACAGGAGTTTCCTGAATTTAGGTGCCATGTTGCTTGTTAGTGACGGCCATGGGGGCGCATTCATTCATGGCGATGTGAAGATGTACATTCTGCATTGTACTCCAAGTATGTTTTCTCACTTGGAATTGTGTTTTTTCAGCTCTATTTTTTGTCTGGCTTGGTCTGAGGCCAAGGGACCTGTGTGGTCTCATGTAGCCCAGGCTGGCCTCAGACTCCCTGTGAAGTTGACCTTGAATTTTAGATCCTCTTGGCTCCACCCACCAAGTGTTCACAGGTGTGCCCTACTTCATCTACTGTAGTGTTGGGGCTCAGACCCTGGACCTCCTGCATCCTTGGCAAACACTCTAACAACCAAGCTACATCCCCAGCTCAACTCTACTGTTAACATTCTTAAATTTAATTTTGTGTGTATGTGTACATGTGTGTGCACATGTGTGTTCATGTGTGTACATGTGCGCACGTGTGTATGTGAAGGCCAGAGGATGCTCATGAGTGTTGCTTTTCTTCTACCACACAGGTCCCAGGGATTGAACCTGGGTTTTCAGGCTCGTGAGGCAAGCGCCTTTATTCAACTGAGCCATCCTGCCAGCCCCAACCTCCATAATTTTTAAGGTCAGGCTCACAGGAGGCTCACAAGCACTCCTAGTTATCCATTCTATTTTTACTTACAGTTTGGGTTTGGCCAGGACAGGAGGGGGTTCTTTGACAGGCGAGGACGGCTCTGGGATTCTGGCTTCCTGCCCGTTGAACCTCTCAGGGAAGGAATCAGGTCTGGCCGGGCTGGTGTTGGCTACTCCACTCCCGGAGGAAGCCTCATTTTCCACGTCATCTTCAGGCAGGTTGAAGTGCACCCGCAGCCCAATCCTGGAGCTGGAACGGGGCTCATTATGGTTCACCAGGACCCCTTCCAGTTTGGGTTTAGGGGGTGGTTCCTCAGAACGAGGCTCTGGGTTGGGTGGGGAGGGCTGTTGCTCAGTCACAGCCAGGCTAGTGGTTGAGTTGGCTGGGAGAAGAGCCCCATTATCGCTGATGTCTTCGTTTCCTGAAAGGACAATTAGAGATCTTGAGCTGGAGACCACCAACAGGACTGAGCTGGAACTGTCACCTTGAGCTGGGGTGTGCATACAAGTAGGGAAACATCAATCCATGGAAAGGAGCATACAGGAAGATGCTTGCCAAAAAACAGGCCAAGTCTGGAGCATTTAAGGGTGGAGAGGATGTGGGGGAAACTGAATTGAACGTTGGAGTACACAACTGTGCACGTAGCGGTGTGGAATACATGCTTAGTTTATTCGAGGATGTGGGCTTGATTCCCTGAATCCCCTACCTCTGGAATCTAAGAGTTCTGTGTTTTGTTTTGCTTCAAGACAGGGTTTTTCTGTGTAGTCCTGGTTGTCCTGGAACTCACTCTGTAGACCAGGCTGACCTCAAACTCAGAGAGATTTGTCTGCCTCTTCCTCTGCCTCCTGTGTGCTAGGATTAAAGGCATATGCTACCACACCTGGCTACATTCTGTGTGTTTTACGTGGTGTGTGTGTGTGTGTGTGTGTGTGTGTGTGTGTGTGTGTGTGTGTGTATTCATGTGGAAGCCAAAGGACAACTCCAGGTATTTGTGGTCATTGAGTTGCAGAGATCCGCCCTTTTGCCCCAGCCCAGGGATTACAAGCATAGGCTACCATGCCTGACTTTTGTATGTCGATTCAGGGCACTGAACTCAGGTACTCAAGTTTATGAAGCAAGCACTTCTCCTGCTGAATTATCTTCCAGCTCCTTGAAGTACTCTTAAGAACTTGAGAAGTTTATATAAGGCCAGGGAGCCGCTTTCTCAGGAAGTGTGGAATGAATGACATCAGGCCCCTGAGGAGGCTGTCTGTGACTGTAAGTGGAATAAGAACTGGAAAACTAGACATTGTCCATAAACTTTTTTTTGGAGATGGAGTCTCACGTATCCTAGGCTGGCCTTGAACTCACTCTGTTGCCAATGACCTTGGACTCCTGGTCCTCCTGTCTTCATGTCTCCAGTGCTGGGATTACAGGTGTGCACCATTAGGCCTGGTTTAGGCGGGGCTGGAGAAGGAACCCAGGGCATCATGCACGCTAGGCAAGCGCTTTACCAGCTGAACTATAATCTCCAGCCACAAGAACATTTTTCTCTTTACTGTTATTATTTTATTTTTATGCATGTGTGTGCACAGTCACACAGGCATGCCAAGGCAGGAGGGTGGAGGTCAGAGGACAACTTGCTGGAATCAGTGTTCTTCTTCCGCTGTGTGGGTCTCAGGGACTGAACTGAGTTAGTCAGGCTTGGTGGGAGGTACCTTTAGCTGCCAAGCCATCTCACCAGCCCCTCCCCCCCGGAACAATTTTCTTAATAATTAAAAATTTTCAAAGATACTTTATGTGTGAATGCTTTGCTTGTATGTATGTGTATGCACCACATGTATGCAGTGCCCTTAGAGGCCAGAAGAGGGTGGTGGATAGCCTGGAACTGGACTTACAGATGGTTGTGAGGCCATCTTGTGAGTGTTGGATATTGAACCCGGGTCCTCTGAAGACTAGGCCAATGCTCTTAACCGCTGAGTCATTTCTCCAGGCCCCAGTTTAAATCTTTTTTTTGTTTTTTTTTTTTTTTTGGTTTTTTGAGACAGGGTTTCTCTGTGTAGCTTTGCGCCTTTCCTGGAACTCGCTTGGTAGCCCAGGCTGGCCTCGAACTCACAGAGATCCGCCTGGCTCTGCCTCCCGAGTGCTGGGATTAAAGGCGTGCGCCACCACCGCCCGGCCTTAAATCTTTTTTTTTTTCCAACCAGTCTTACACGTATTGCCTTCCCACATCAGGCCTTGACTGCATACTTGCCATAGTGAGTAATTTAAATCTTTATGGTTCATACGTGAATCTGGAAGAAAAGATGACCCTGGGCCGGGCCGTGGTGGTGCACACTGTTAGTCTCAGCACTGGAGGGGCAGAGGGGCCAGCCTGGACTACAGACTACAGAGCAAGTTCCAGGACAGCCAAGGCTTCACAAAGAAACCCTGTCTCAAAACAAACAAAAAGACTCTGAAGTTCACACTCAGTCTGACGGCTGGGGAGCACTCACCTCTCACGTCCAGCTGGGCGATGCTGGACACTCTGAAGTTCACACTCACAGTCTGACGGCTGGGGAGCACTCACCTCTCATGTCCAGCTGGGCGATGCTGGACACTCTGAAGTTCACTCACACTCAGTCTGACTGCTGGGGAGCACTCACCTCTCATGTCCAGCTGGGCGATGCTGGACACTCTGAAGTTCACTCACACTCAGTCTGACGGCTGGGGAGCACTCACCTCTCATGTCCAGCTGGGTGATGCTGGACACTCTGAAGTTCACACTCACAGTCTGACGGCTGGGGAGCACTCACCTCTCACGTCCAGCTGGGCGATGCTGGACACTGTGCCGTATTTGTTGCTGGCGGTGCAGGTGAAGCATCCGGAATCTTCCGAAAACACCTCAGCAATGACTAAAGTGCAGATCTCCTCTGTATGCCGGTAAGACAGACATGTGAATGACTTAACCACAGGGACAGAACGCTGAGACTAAATGACACCAAATGACGATTCTATAAACGTTGACGTAAGGAGCTGACTTAATTAATTCTTTGAAAACAGCTGCACCCGATAACTATTTGATCAGATTGACCCGTTAGGAGACTGAAAATGTCCAAAGATGTAAAACCAACAGCTCATGAAGGTTTTGTGATAATGTGTTGCATATAACACCAGGGGAACCCCCTAACCACTGAGCTACATTCTCCAAAGGTGCAGCACAGGCGTGCCTCAAACTCCCGATTTCTTATTCTCTTCAGCAGTTGCCTACTAGGGGGAGCCAAGACCAGTGGTTACACATAATGCACATTCTGTTTCTACTGTCCATCCAGATGACAATTAGACTAACAATGAACTTGTCAAAAGTCACAAACACAAATTAGCGGGGTCAAAGGAAGGTGTGTGTGAAACAGAAAAACTAATGAAATAGTTTTCCAAACCCTAGTCCCTCATTATTTTCATGGGGAAATTTCACAGTGAGATAATTTTAAACAAAGGCCCCAGTTTAAAATTGGGCAGAAGGGCTTGGGGCGGTGTATGTCTCAGCGGGAAAGCTCATGCCTAACACGCATGAGGTCCTGGGTTTGATCCCCAGCAGCACAAAAAATTGGACATACAAAAAAGTGTATGAATGCTTTGTTGAAGCAGTAGCAATTAGCTGATAGAGAAACAGAAACTCCAGGCGAGAGGAGATCAAAGTGAGTCTCCCTTTGTAACACGATAGCCATTCCCATGGATTAGCCTGATACATGACATGAAGTCTTGAGAGTGACAATACAGGTAATTCTCAGACATGACTAGAACCTAAAATTAATACAGTTAGATACTCTTTGAAAACCAGAGAAGAGCAGGGTCATTAGAACGAAATTACTAAAGCAGTAGTATTAGGGGAAGTTTGGCATCTCAGTACTTTGTGATGACTGAGTTAGGTCAACTAGAACCTTCTAGAACAGTGGTTCTAACCTACAGGTTGCAATTTGTGGGGGTCAAATGACCCTTTTCCAGGGGTCACCTAAGACCATCAGAAAACACAAATATTTACATTATGATTCATAACAGTAGCAGAATTACAGTTAGGAAGTAGCAAGGAAAATACTTTTATGGTTGGGGGGGGTCACCACACCATGAGGAACTGTATTAAAGGGTCACAGCATTAGGAAGGACGAGAACCACTGTTATAGAAGAAATTCCCAGGAGGCCATGGCAAACAGTACTGGTTAGTCCTTACAAGACAGAACCCTTGTCTTTTTTATTATATGCCCTATGGTCTAGTGTAGGTGTACAATATGGATGTTCTGTGCTTGCTTCTGGAATATCTGTGCTGTCCGAAGAGAACCGCAATAAAATTTCAAACAATCTCCTCACCCAGAGTTACGAATACAGCCTGAGGGCTCTGGTGTGTACATGACTCGCAAATGCTTTATGGCTCTCGCTTCTATTTTGGTATTCTCCAAAACCAAGTCAAGAAACAGCACACACATTTTATTTAATCTCTATAAATTTCTTTATTTACTTTATTTTGATTGGTTCTGGAGATCAAACCCATGGCTTTGAGTAAGCCAGACAAGTGTTCTTAATTATTGATATTCCCAGCCTCTTGTCCATTAAGTTTGAGACACAAAGGCTGTGGGATTGGAATTGGCGTCAAAGAAATTCCAAGCCCAGTTTTGAGGAGGGCATGAAATGAGTGGGAGTAATGGTCAAAGGGAAAATATCCCCAGGAAAATGTAAAAGAATTAACTATATTCGTATCAGATATTGATATGCAAATTTGAACATGCTCCCTCCTCCCCCCACTTCAACAATAACAGCTTGAGTTCATTTGGATCTTTCTAGAATTTTTAATTTTCACCTTTCCTTGACTATTTTTTTTCTTTTTTTTTATTTTGCAATACAATTCAGTTCTACATATCAGCCATGGATTCCCTTGTTCTCCCCCCTCCCGTCCCCCTCACCTTCCCCCCAGCACCCCCCCATTCCCATCTCCTCCAGGGCAAAGCCTCCCCCGCGGACTGAGATCAACCTGGTAGACTCAGTCCAGGCAGGTCCAGTCCCCTCCTCCCAGGCCGAGCCAAGTGACCCTGCATAGGCCCTAGGTTTCAAACAGCCAACTCATGCAATGAGCACAGGACCCGGTCCCACTGCCTGGATGCCTCCCAAACAGATCAAGCAAATCAACTGTCTCACCCATTCAGAGGGCCTGATCCAGTTGGGGACCCCTCAGCCATTGGTTCATAGTTCATGTGTTTCCATTCGTTTGGCTATTTGTCCCTGTGCTTTATCCAACCTTGACCATTTTAACAATTTTAGAACAATTACAACATATGTGTATCTCAAACCACTCAGCACATATCAATAAGTTGGGACGATCTTTACCTGGCTCTGCCATGGATCGAGGTTCTAAAGGGAGAAAAAAAAAAACAAGAGGTTGTGAGCATCTACTTTACTGAAAAGCTGTATTTCCATCCAAAGCTCCCTGTAGAGTCTCAGGGTCTTGTTTCCTTGGGGCTGATGTGATAAGGACAATCTGTCAAGGCTAAGTAGTGACCCAAGGACCAGTGACCTCAATAAGATCACAGAGGGGCAGCTGGAGAGCTGCTAAATGCTGCTTCATTTTGCAGCTTACCTGGATTCACACAGAGAAGAGAAACTTCAGGCCCCCAGACAAGGAAGAATGCCAAAGGGAGCTGGGATTCAGAAGGACTAGCATCTATGTATCTATCTATGTATCTATACCTATCTACCTACCTATCTATGTATCTATCTATGCTTCTATGTATCTATCTAGTTATATATGTATGTATGTATGTATGTATGTATGTATGTATGTATGTATGTATGTATCTATCTATCTATCTATCTATCTATCTATCTATCATGTATAAGCCACAACACTCAGGTGGAGGTCAGAGGACAATGTGCAGGAATCTGCTCTTTCCTTCCATCCTGTGGATCCCAGGATCAAACTCAGGTCTTAAGGCTTAAAGGCAGGAGACTTTACCTGCTGACCATCTCACTGGCCCACGACTTATACTAGTTTTAAAGGTAACAAAAGTTGTATATAGCTTAGTGGTAGGGCTCCTGCCTGGCATGGAGAAGGTCCCGGGTTCAATCCTTACTACTGCAAGAAAGAAAAAAATTATAATTATGGCTGACAAAATGGCTCAGTGGGTAAAAGCACTTGTCACCAAGGCTGGTCACCTGAGTTCAATCCACAGGACACACACGGTGAAAGTGGAGAACTACTCCTGCAAATTGTCCTCTGACCTCACAGGTGTGCTGTAGTATGTATAACCACACACACAGATGCACATACAATGAATAAGTGTAACTAAGATTTAAAATAATAAAAGTAAGAAAACTTTATTAATATGGAACGATGTCTATGAACTTTTGTGTAAAAAAAAAATCAATTATAATCGGGCATGGTGGAACATGCTTTTAGTCTCAACACTTGGGAGGCAGAGGCAGGAGAATCTCTAAGTTCAAGCCCAGCCTGGTCTACATAATTCCAGGTCAGCCAGAGCTACACAGTGAGACCCTGTCTCAAAAAGCAAAATCAATTACAAAAAATATATGTATTTGACTCATTTTTAATTAAAAATATGTATGGAGAAACCTTGGAGAATATATACCAATATATTAATACAATTTATTCTTAGGAGATTAATTCTTTTTTTTTTTTTTTTTTTTGGTTTTTCGAGACAGGGTTTCCCTGTGTAGCTTTGTGCCTTTCCTGGAACTCACTTGGTAGCCCAGGCTGGCCTCGAACTCACAGAGATCCGCCTGCTTCTGCCTCCTGAGTGCTGGGATTAAAGGCGTGCGCCACCACCGCCCAGCAGGAGATTAATTATTAAAGTGATTTTTATGTTTAAAGAATTTAAAAAGATCTTTTGTGTGTGTGGGTGTTTTGCCTGTAGGTATGTTTGTGTACATTGTGTTTGCAGTACCCACAGAGGCCAGAAGAAGGCGTAAGATGCCCTGGAACTGGAGTTACAGTTGTAAGTCTCCTCATGGAATTGAACCCGGGTCCTCTGGAGGAGCAGCCAGTGCTCTTAACTGCTGAGGCATGTCTCCAGCCCCTTTATGTTAGCTTTCTACTATCTATTTAATTTGTTGTTTAAAAACAGAGAAACAAACCCATATGAAACACTTGTTTAAAAATGTAAGACCATCAGAAAAGCATCCACTCACTCTTCTGTAAGATCCTGAAGTCCGGAGAATCCTCTATTAAGGTCCCTTCTCGGTACCACTCGACTTTCGGGGACGGGGCTCCTTTTACTCTGCACTCGAAGACAACCAGCTGCCCCTCAGAGGCTGACAGGTTCTGTAGCATCTGGGACAAGAGGAGTACGTTATCACCTACGTGCTTGGGGACTGTATCCTACTGCTGGATTTTAGGGACACCGTCTCCACCCCTGGATTCTTTCCACATCTCCGACAGACAGCTTCAACTCAGTGAGCGTACTCCGAGTCTAGTTTGAAAGACAGCACCATCCAACCCTTCCGGGACTCTTTCTTCATTATTTCCTGCATTTACCTCCATTTAAGTGCTAATCAAATTTATTAAGTATAGGTCAAACATATTGAGTAAAGGAGATGATTTTTTTTTTTAGTAATTTCTATTTTCATTTGTTAGTTTTCTTTCTTTTTCTTTTGTCGTTCACTCCTTTAATTTTTTTTTCAGTTCTTGTCTAAACAAAGCTTATAATATTTTGTGCCTTGCCCTGACCCATTTGTAACCCTTTTCTAATGATGTGGGCTGCATAGACGCACACATCCCAGCAAAGAGTTATGAGTAATGCCTAACACAAAAAACTGATTAACCTACTTAAAAATATTACAAAGTGGGGTGATTTTGGTCAACTGCACAGTTTTGTAGATAACAAGGTCCCAAAGTTCAAAGGTAGAACTCTGGCCTGACTGAGCCCAGCAGTGACTGCCAGGGGGCGCTGTAGTTCAACTTCAGTATTTTGTTCTTTATGTGGTGCCAAATTTGCTGAAATCATTCGTGACCTGAATAACACCGAGTGGTTTATGAATTAGTAAAAGTGCTACTGGATTGAAAAATCTAATTATTCCTCATTTCCCCAGTACACCTTATAAGGACAAGATAGAAGGCACGCAACATCCACGTGCTGAATGCAAAGTCCTCTCCCTGACCTCTGGAGAAAATTCTGTGCTAAAATGTCCACTTTGGTGCCTATTGAAAACCAGAGTGGCAGTTCAACATCTCTCTGGAATTAATATGTAATGGAGTTTTCTGAGGTAAACAAGTTAGAACATCAAGTCAACAGTCCGCCCGCCCCCCCAATAAAAATAGTGGTGGGAAAAAGACAAAAACAAAACAAACAAAAACCACAGGCATGGCAGCGCCACACCTTTAGTCCCCAGCACTCAGGAGACAGAGGCAGGCAGATCTCTGTGAGTTCCAGGACAGCCAGGACTGTTACACAAAGAAATCCTGTTGTCTTGAAAAACAAAAAAACAAACGAACAAAAAAAAATGGTGGTGGCAGACGGATTGTGGAAATGATATTTGGCAGTTTCATAAAATGGATATATGGAGAATGAAGTCAATCTACACGTTCTAACATGGTGTGTGGCTCAGTTCATTTGCTCAACTAGTTCTCAGCGGGGGGTCTTCGAAGCACTCTCGCAGAAGGCCCCTCTAGAGAGGCTGTTCAGCCAGGACGCCCACGATGCCACAGTGTAGAGTAGGCCTGCTAATGTCGAGGGTGGGAAAGAGAAGCGTCAACACTCAGGAGGAAGATAACCAAGGGTTATCTTACAAGCCACTTCGATAAAAAGTGGTTGAAAGTCCGTCACTATCCTGCAAATGGTGGAGTTTTTGTTTTTTCTTCTTCTTAAAGTTTATTGCATTTTTATGTACTGTGTGTTTAGAGGCTCATGAGTAGCATGGCCCACAGGTGGCTATCAGAAGACCACGTGCAGGGGTTGGCCCTTTTCCTTCACCATGTAGGACCTCAGGGTCAAACATAGGTCATCAGGCTTGGAGACAAGAGCCTTTGCCTACGGAGCATCTTTTTCTTCTGTTTTTTTGAGAATATATTTTTAATTACATGTATGTGTGTGTGTGTGGGGGGGGGGGGGGTGGAGTGGCCTCTGAGGCCCCAGAGCCCCTGGAGCTGTAGTCACGAGCTGTTGGGAGTTGCCTGATGCAGTCCTCTGAATCTGGGTCCTAACTGCTGAGGCATTTCTTCAGCCCCCACAGCTGAAGACAGCTTGCTGTTGTTGTTGCTTTTGTTTTTCAGATAAAGTGGCCTGACGCTTGTTGGGTAGCTGAGGATGACCTTGAACTCTTGATCCTCCTGCCTCCATCTCCTGAGGGCTGGGGTTAGAGGCATGAACCACTATGCCTGGAAAATCTGTGATCTTCTGTAAGGAGATGGCCCGTGTGGCTCCACATACATTCGGATTAGTTAAGCCATTAGGACACAGTGCAGAGGACGCTTCATTTATCACAGCCGTAGATCTCAGGTGTCTTCTAATGGTGTGGTACTGATTTTGGATTAAAATGTGTCTCCCCTTGCCCTTTTCTGGATGGAGATGGTAGAGGAGGGGATTGGGGGGTGGGAGCAGGGAAGGGGATGGGGGAAGGGACTGGGAGGAGAGGATGGGGGGGGCCTGAGGCCAGGATATAAAATAAATAGATAAATTTTAAAAAATGTGTCTTCCCAAACGTTCACATGTTGGAAGCTTGTTCCCCATTTTAACCGTGTTAAGAGGCAATGGGACCTGCGTTACCGGCTCCTTTTCTCTTTATCTCTTTTTCAAAAAAGTTGTTATGTATGGTGTTGGCCTAAATATATGTCTGCCTGGTGTTCAGGGAGGCCAGAGGATGGTAATGGATCTCCTGAAAATGGAGTTAGGAATGATTACAAACTGCCATGTGGGTGCTGGGAATAGAACATAGGTCCTCTGGAAGAACAGCCAGTGCTCTTCACCACTGAGCCATCTCTCCGGCCCTCTCCTTTCTCTTTTTAAAATCCCGCCTCCTGTCTGGATGCATGATTCTCTCCCCTCTCTCTCTTTCCCACCAGTGTCTTACCATCCTCCTCAACATCTTCACCAGAGCTAAGCCTATGCCGTTGTTATATCCCTGGAACCCCCAAACTGTAAGATAAATACACCTCTCTCCTGTGTAAAGGACCCAGCCTTGGGTAGTTTGTTATAGTAATGAAACACAGGCAAATACACAGACGGTACCCATGCTAATACTCGGATCCCGCCCCTTGGCATCGTCCTGTGTCCTGAAATAAAAGGAAAAACTCTACTCATTTCTCCTCTCCCTCTCTTCTCTCCCTCCAGCTCCCACGAGGTGTCTACCACTCGACCCCCCTCCCTTCCTCTCTCTCTCTCTCCCTCCCTCCCTCCCTCTCTCCCTTCTGTCTCCCTCTTTCGGTCTCTCTGTCTCTTTATCTCTCTATTATAATAAACTTTCCACGCGGATGTAGCGTCTGGATTGTGCATGTCCACCCGCCGCCCCGCCGCCCCGCTGCCAGCCCATCTGCCCAGCATTGCTTCCCTGCACTCGCAGGATACCCACGGGGTCCCCTAGCCTAGTAATATATCCTAACAGCCCAGACTCCGATCATGTTCATCTCACTTCACTAAAGGTGAAGAGGATAAATCAGTCAGTCCTCAACTGAGGAAGGCTGAGTTAATCTTTACTGGAAATTATGGATCTGAACTGAAGTCACCACAGTCAAAAGTCCACAGCCTCCTGAGGTAAAAACAGTGTCCAAAGTACAAATCTGCCACATTTGCCACCATACAGATCATCTTGGAGTTTATTCACTACAGACCTGACCATCTGGAGGGGCTCCATGGCCAGCCTGCACGGGGCCATTGTTTCTGTTCTTCCTGAAGCTTCCAGAAATAGAAGTATTTACCACAGAATAAATCCGACCACATGCCTGCTTTGCCCTGCCCTGTGTCAGGGGTTACAAACGTGGGTTCCTGCTTAGAGGTTCTTGGCTGGCAGACACAATGCAATGATACCTTCAGAAAAAGCATGCCTCTTGTTGGTTAAAATACATGATCTGTTAGGAGAACTTGTTCTTACAGAGGACCTGAGTTTGATTCCCAGCATCCACATGATGGCTCACAACTGTCCGTAACTCCAGTTCTAGGGGATCTGATGCCCTCTTCAGGCCTCATTGGACACCAGGCATGCATGGGATACATATATATATTTGCAGACAAAACACTCATACACATAAAATAAAATACATAAATATATATATATATATATTTTTTTTTTTGGTTTTTCGAGACAGGGTTTCTCTGTGTAGCTTTGCACCTTTCCTGAAACTCGCTTTGGAGACCAGGCTGGCCTCGAACTCACAGAGATCCGCCTGCCTCTGCCTCCCGAGTGCTGGGATTAAAGGCGTGCGCCACCACCGCCCGGCTAAAATACATAAATATTTTAAGAATAGCTCCAAGGTTCATTTTGTTATTTTTTTTTTTAATCCACATGTTCCTGCACCTTTGGGCATGATGTGTGTGTGTACAGTGCCTTAGGCTGGAGTTGGCCCAGAAAGGTTTACTGATATAGACCAATGGGAGATGGTGATATGGGTCAGCAGGTAAAGGGTCTTGCTACCAAGCTTGAGGATCTGAGTTCAATCCCAGGACTTTCATGATAGAAGGAAAAAACTGATTCCCACAAGTTCACAAGTTGTCCTATGACCTCCACACTTGGGCTGTGACGTGTACAACACACACACACACACACACACACACACACACACACACTGAAAAAAAAAGTAACAAACTAGACAGAAGATCCGTTGTCACTTGGTTGTCACAGGTACCCCAGCAAAGGTAAGTCTCTGGATTTGGTGGGTTGGGAAGAGAGACCCTGAAGTCCTCAGAAATCTGGATCTGGCCACTGGCCCAGTTATTTCGGGGTTTCCTGCCTCTGCTGTTATATAATGTAGTGCTCTTCAAATTCTCACTTCCCCTGTCCCCTTACACTCTTCAAATTACTGCTGAAACAGCCAGAGCCCGGGCTGCCACAGCCTTGAAAACTCGCCAGGGCAGCTGCCATTGAGTGGGAGGCGACAGGAGCAAGATTCTAATTTGGTCACCTCCCCCCCTCCACACTCCAGAAGTGTGAGTGCTGTTCTCTTGGTAAGCCGGGTGGAGTGTTTTTGATGTTGTCAAGAGGAGGAAGGGTGGTCTCGCACCACACACAGAGTGTTTCAAAACATAGGAGGGCGGGCAGGGGACCGCTCAGTGGGGAAGGGCGCTCGCCCTCAACACCGACAACCTCAGTTCCATCCCTGGAGCATAACATGGTCGAGGGACAGAACCGACGCCTGTAACGTGCCTCTAACCTCATGCACGTATTGTACACACCCCAACCCCCAATAAATGAATAAATCTAAAAAAAAAAATTAAAAGAAACCAAACATAGAAGGTGGGCTAAGGATGTAACTCAGTTGGTCGAGAGGTTGCCTAGCAGGCACAAAGCCCTGGGTTTGATTGACTGCACAAACCAAGTGTGGTCACGAATACCTGTGGCCCTGGCATGCAGGAGGCCCGAGAGTTCAAAGTCAAACACTGCTACTTACAGAGTTCGAGGTCAACCTGGGCTACATGAGGCTTTGTCTGAAACAACAACAACAAAAAGGGGGCCAGGGATGTAGCTCAGGGGCAGAGCACTTGCCTAGCATTCTCAAGCACCTACTCAAAGCACCACAAGGAAAGGAAGGGCACAGGTACCCTCTGTGAGTAAACCCGTATGGAACCCCACAGTCCACTCTTAACCCTGTCACCCCGGCAAGTCTCCTTTTCACTCAAACCTTCTCTAAAAGGAAGGTCACCCAAGAAGGGAAAACAGAGTTACATAAAACCCTCCAGTCAGGGCTTTTGAAAAATGGTGGCTTGCCGTAGTTGGCAAAGAGATGCTTTGTTGGGCTGTATAGAAAGTGAGTCACAGGAGCCATGTGGCCAGAAGTCCCTGAAGAGACAAACAGAGACAGAATAACCTGGACAGACGTATGCAAATCACCTGCTCTCATTGCTCGGTGGCGAAATACCATCCTTGGTAACTGTGACTCAGAAATTCGCTAATGACCCTGGCAGTGACTGTGACCTCAATCCTGCCCTCACTGACGGGGACTAACGCAAGCACGCTGCGGCTGATAAATCTCTCTGGAATCTGAACCCCGGCCTATCCTGGTGCCCCATGTCCCTGGACAATCCCATTTATGGAGGCAAGAGCTCACATTCAGAGGGCAGAGAAAGGCTTCTCACAGTTTGTGGCTGTGTACCAAGTGCTGGGTTCCCACCAGCAGGCTAATATTTTTATAGATTTCACCGTATCGGATGATCAGTTCATTTTCCCATTTTTATTTGTCAAAAGCATATGTATCTGCCAACCAGAATATCTAATCAGAGAGAGGCACTCACAGTCACCTCAGTAAAGCAGTTAAAAATGGATGCTTTGATTGACCTTGGGAATTAAATATAAAGAATATTAAAGGGTCCTATCTGACTGATTCTCTCTCCTCCTCCTCTTTCTCCTTTTGTGTTGAGGGCCAAAGCCAGGGCTTTGTGCTTTCTAGATAAATACCTAACCACTGAACTACACTCTGAAACCAGACTTGAGAGAGGAGGGGGGGAGCTTTTAAACTTAGTTTTTGAGAGAGGGTCTTTCAATGTAGCCCAGGCTGGCCTTGAACAGTCTCTTTCTGTCTCAGCCTCCTGATTGTTAGGATTATAGGCAAGCATCAACGTGCCAGACTTCACCTTTTAAACTTCTATCTGCACATTACACATAGCTTTCAGGGTGATTGGGAAAAAACCTAACAGACAAACAGCTTTACCAGTGAGGAATGTACAAGGCATGTGCTCTGGGTCATAAGAATCTTTGCATACTTAAGATTTGGAACCTAGTGGTGGTGGGTGCCGAGAATGGGCAGAAAGGAGACTACTGGGGACCACCAGGGTATTTGGTGGTTCAGCTACCTTTTGAGCTGGCACTGTCCCTAACCTGTGATGAATGGACATGACAAATGCTTTACTTCTGTGTCACTTTTATGCTGTCTCTTAAGGCTAGATGGCTTAGCAGTGTCAATAAGAGATGACAAAGACAGGTCTGTTAACTGTAACACACACACACACACACACACACACACACACACACACACACACACACACACAGAGTGCATCCACAATTTCTCTTCATAGTCTTGCATCTACTAAATCAGAACATGGGATTTTCCTACTTTCAGTCATTTACGACAGTAAGGCTGAAACACCAGAGGCAGATTATTAAATGAATCTAAAAAATAAAGAGGCATCTTATTCACATAAGGAAATGTGCCTAATCGATGGGGAAATGGGTAGACAGGGATTACTCTAGACTCCGTGGTGGATTTTGGGAAGCCATCTTGGATGATTTCATCCAAGATGGTGGAACTCCTTCTAGGACAGTTGTGGATCTAGCAAGAGTATCAGTACTGCTAGAAAAGACCACATTTGCCATTTTTTCTTGAAATCCTTATCTTGGGCAGTCTAGAGATTTGGGGTTAAATGATTCTTTGGGGCGTGGGGAGGGTGGCAGGGAGGCTAGCACCCTGAGCACTGTACTGTGCTCAACCACATCTCCAAATGTCATTAGCACAACCCTCTCATGTGACAACCAAAAGTGTTTCCAGACATTACCAATGACCCTCGGAGAACAAAATCAACCACAATTGATATCCATGGCTCAAGCTATATTTTTTTATGGAATAAAAATCTCTTGGGGCTTACATTTGTTATTCATACGAAGAAGAATATCATGGAGACAAATTATAATATAAAAAAATCGAGTGTGACTTATTTTTTCACCTTTGAGCTCACTGTCTTGGGCAACAGTGTGTGTTGCACATAGAAAGAATCATAGTCCTAGACGTGGGAAAACTTGTTTCTACTCCTAATTCCACCATTAACCAGTCCTGCGACGTTGGCTGAATTTTGGTTTAATCTCTCTGGCCCTCCCTTGGTTTCTGTCCTTTGTAAATGAGAATCTCTAACTGAATTTTCCAGTTCAAAATCCAAAGGCTGGGTGATTTAGAATTTGGTGACTCTGTAGTCGCTAATACCTCGGAACAGAAGAGCGAGCTCTTTGTCTTAATCCAGGCTTCATGTTAAATCTCCTAAGATCACTTAGCTCTGTTTCCTTGAGCACCAGAGGCAAGTCCCACAACCAGATCCTCCTGGAAGCCAGGGCACACCTCTAGAAGAACAAGTAGTCAGAATCTTGTCAGCTGATTTCCAGGAGTGACTGTTTAACGACCTTTAGAATGGCCATAAAGGTCAGTGTGGTTAGCAGTGAGTACATTTCCCTGACGATAAGAACTGTCTTTAGGAACCTGAGACTTGGGGCAATGAAGAATCAGGTAGCCAACGGCCTGAGGAACAACATGCCTAAGTTTTCTTGTGACTACCGTGATATGTATCTTACCCATGAGGAGCAACATCCCTAAGTTTTATTATGACTACTGGGGTATGTATCTTACCCATGATTCTCCATTGGTAAGAAAGCCACACTGCAGTAGTAGGGAATGCGAAAGACTTCTTCTACTGGAAATGGATGGAAGGGCAGGCCTAGAGCCCGACTGACAAAATGAAGGCTGCATTTCAACAAAGCAGTTCCATGCTCCTCTCCCCCGCTGGGGCCGCGACCCAGCCTCTCCCCAGTCTCCTGGGTCCTCCTTGCCCTGGCATGATGCCTGCACCCTAAATGTGAGGCCCACTCATGATGCCAATGTGCGGCCTTCCTGCTCCTGGTCTGAGGCCACCCATGGGAGGCCACATGCCCGTGATGCCTGGGCCTCCAATGAGGAGACCTCCTGCTCGCCCTGTGATGGTGCCCACTCGGCCTGGCATGACTGGGCCAGACAGATAAGAGCCGGAGGACTCTATCAGTTTTGTGTTTCTTGTTCTGTTTCACCAGGCGATCACGGTGCTGAGCCTGAGTGTTTTCTAGCTGCATGACAAGGAAGACGTTCCCCTTCCTAACGAGAGAACAGTTCTGGAGGGGAGAAGTCGGGTAAAAGGTGCAGTTTGCAGCTGGGCAGCGGCAAAAGCATACACTTTTGATCCCAGCACCCAGGAGGCAGAGGCGGGCAGCTCTACATGAGTTCCAGGCCAGCCTGGGCTACAGAGGGAATTCCAGGACAGCCAGGGCTATACACAGAGAAACCCTGTCTTGAAAAAAAAAAAGGGGGGGGGTACAGTTTTCACTTGTATTGTGAAATATAAAAATAAAATCGTCAACTATTTTAGTTAAAAAAAAAAAAAGCAGAAGCAGAACCAGGCAGATCTCTGTGGGTTCGAGGCCAGCCTGGGCTACAGAGTGAGTTCCAGGAAAGGCACAAAGAAGAAAAGAAATCTGAAACTTGGAGAGGGGTTGGCGATGTAGTTTAACTGACAGAGTGCTTGCCTAGTACATACAAGGCTCTGAGTTCAATTCCTAGCAATGAATAAATTGGGTATAGCAGTACACACCTGTAATCTCAGCACTCAAGTGGTTGAGGTAAAGAAGATCAGAAGTTCAAGGTTATCTTAAATTACATAGAAAGTTCAAGGCCAGCCTAGGATATGTGAGATCCCATCTCAAAAAGTAAAATAAAATAAACCTGGGACCAGACATGAAACCATAGAAACTGCCCAAACACAGAAACCCTTAAGCCCTCCACTGTACTTCCAAAAGACAAATCCTGAGATAAAATCAGAGGCTCTTAGGTCCTTTGTCTGGGTTCCCTGGGGTTTAAAGGCCCGACAGAAAGAGAAGTCTTATTTGATTACCTTGGTAAACACGGGAGCTGCGATGATTGGCTTGCCATCCAGGCCTTGCAAATAGCTGGTGGGACTCTGACACTGTAAGAAGGGAACCAACAATACATTCATTGTCACCAAGGTTGCTGCGTGGACAGACTGAGATAACAAATCTACAGACTTCGCTATAGAAAATTAATCTCAAATCAAAAGACCAGTGTTTTCTAAACTCATGAATCTTCGACTTGAGATTGCTGACTGAGCCGACTGCATTTCTTCTGAGGTCAGGCTGGCTGTAAAGTTACACTTTCCCCACACCGTATGGGTCCAGGTAACCAGCCCTAATCTGAAGAGGGCTCATCAAGTCCCTGGGGCTACACAAATCACTGTTTAAAGACCAATGGATTTGGACTCAAAGTTGACCCTCTGCATTACTGAAGAGGTTAGATAAGTAATCCTCAATATTTTTTAAGGTGTAGATCAATACATCAAAATATACTTAGATTATTATTGACATGCAGCAAATATATTTAGAAAGTATAATTTCATGTTTTAAAGTACATGCATACATGAATTTTTTATATATGAATAGAAAATGCCTGGAAGTCTCTCCTAACAATGATTATTATTGACAGGAGATTCACCTGAGGATAAGGGTGTAGAGATACAAGCTTGACTAAAGTCGGTGGGTTCTTTAAAGATTTTATTTTAGTTTTCATTATATGTATAGGTATGTATCTCTGTTTGTGCACACACCTGTAGGTGCCCATGGATGCCAGAAGAGGCAGCTGGATCCCCAGGAACTAGAATTATGGTTGGTTGTGAGCTGCCCAAAGTAGGCGCTGGAAATTGAATTTGGGTCCTGAGCAAAAGCAATACTCCATCTTTACCACTGAGCCATCTCTCCAGCTCTGATTAAAGTTTTTACTTTATATGCTTCTATACATTGAGTGTTTTACAATAAACATTATCATCAACTTGAAAGGGGTGAGTCTTGTTTATTTTTTGAAAAAAAAAACAACTTCCTGCTTGCCTTAGGAAGTAGAATTATTCCCAGTTCCATGGAGTACAGTTAAGATGTACACACCCATTGGTTCACTCATGATTGGCACTTTTTACGAAGTGGGGGCGCCAGAGACTAACTTGTCAAGGATCCCTTCGCCTATGATGTTTTCCCAAGGAGCAGACTAGGTCCCCAAGGCCACCGGAAGCAATGAGCTCGTGCAGCAGCAGGACAAAGCAGTTATCTCAGCGATAGATTACAACAGAGGATCACACAAGGTGGTCATGGTCACTTGGGTTCGACCTAGCTTCATGTACCTGCTGGACGGTGGACACTCTGGGCTGGCCTTGGGCCACTGGAGGAATGGCTGCAGAGGTAGCAGGAGGAGATGACGACTCCTTGGGCTTCTGGATGCTGAGGAATTATTAAAATATGGATTATAAAACAGACCAGTAACTGCTGGTGAAAACCAGTGACGTCAGCACCGCTCGCTGACGGAGCTATCAAGTCTTTGACAGTATTCTGCAAGCATTCAACAATGTCCCGCGGCTACACATCCTCTTGGGCAATACACACATGAAGACGACACTCTTAGCCTTGGGTTCTTTGCCTGGGGTACAGCCAGTGAGTCAGACGTACCAACCGTGACCTGAGATTCACAAGGCATGGCACGGGCTGGAGATCATTTTTCAAGCTCCGTTTTGCTGCCGCTGTCTCTACTTTTTCTTTTCTTCTTTCCCTTCCTTCCCCTCTCCTTTCTTTATTTTTATTTTTTCCTTTCTTTTTGGAGACAGGGTTTCACTCTGTAGGCCAGGCTGGCCTTGAAGCCACACCCGTCCACTTACCTCTGCTTCTCAAGTGCTGAGATTAAAGGTCTGCACCACTCAATTTGGTTCACTCTCTCTCTCTCTCTCTCTCTCTCTCTCTCTCTCTCTTCTGTCTTTCCGCTGGCCTTGAACTGGCTATGTAGCTGAGTGAGGGAGACTTTGAACTTCTGATCCTTTTGCCTTTGCCTTCTGAGTGCTCAGATTGCAGGCGGCCACCATGCCTCTTTTATGTGGTACTGGAGAATCAAATCCAGGGCTTTGCGCACAGGGGGCACAAGTACTCTATCACCTGAGCTACGTCCCCGGCTCCTCCTCTTTCCATTTGGAGCAAGGGAAAAAAAAAAATAAAGAGGCCAGGCTTTATACATCTTTATTTCTGCCGTTTTGCGCTGGCGTAAAGTAGAAGAAATATCCTGAAGTCGACAAGCTCTTCAAATTTATACAATTTAACTTAAAGAGAGTTGAACCAGGAAGTACTCTTGAGAAGGATGCACAAGGAAAATTTGTTTTGTGAGCGAGGAAGATAGAGGTCTGAGGATCTGGCCAAAGAGCCTGGCAGGAGAGAGAGCCTAAGGCAGAGGGAAAGGCAGCCTTTGGGTAGAAGATTCTGGTCGGCAGAAAGAACACTGGGAAACAGGAAGTGCTGGGCTTAAAGGGCCCTCACGATCTTGAACATGGGCCTTTCACCTATGGCCCTTGGGGACACATGACCACTCACAGTAGGCTACCCTTTCTTTGGTCTGGATGCTGCCTCTCAGTTTCTTCATCTCTAAAATGGGTAAATAATCATTTATAGCCTGTGAGTCTTTTGGGAGGGTTAAAGAGATAACTCCCATCAGATGCCTAGCATGTCCTTGTTTTCTCCGTGCTCAGGACAGATGCCTGTGGGGTCTCTATACAACTGAGGATGTAAGGACACAGAAGGAATTCCCCAGACAGGCAGCATGTGCTCTAAGAAGCGAAATTACATGGCCTCTCGTTGTCTCCAAAGCATGTCCTACTCTCTACAGTAGGAGAGTCACTTATTTTTATCACACGGCTACTCTGTATAAAGAGCATTTCCTAACCTTCACTGTGCCTAGGTGTGTTCCTATGACGACTTTCTGGACATGGGCCACGAGGGAGAGTGATGTGTGTGTAGCTTAAGGGAGATGACTCAAAAGGTTTGCGTGTTCCTCACTTCCTCCTTTCCTACTGAGGAGATGGGGCCCTGCATTAGCGTGAGGTGAAGCAGAAAGCTGGATCTGGCCACCGGAGACCTACGATGTCCCATACTGGTACCTAGTAGACCGAGAAGCTCGTGTGCCAGACAAGTCCTGATCTGTGTGTACGTGAGAAGTAAATATCTGTGTTGTTTAAGTCACAGTTAATTTGGTCTCTGTTATGTACAACCGAAGCTAAAAATCTTTGCGGGTACCAAGTAATTCAAAGCAAATGAATGAATGAGATCTCTTTCACTTATTGGAACTTGTAGATAAAAACTCATACTCATTAGCCTTTGTAGCAGGACCCAAGATACCCCCCCACACCTCAGTCGCCCCCAGAGAGGAGCGATGAGCATGTGCCTGAGCAGGAGTTTATTATGGAATCCAGAGAGGGACCATTCAGACTGGGTGTGCCGATGAGTAGGAATTTCACAACAGGAAATCCCACAAGGTACACAGTTTGAGGAACAGAAGAAAATGAATGAATGCTGTGCTGTTTGAATGAGGTGCCAGCCACTTGGAGAGCCTGACGCAGCGGGGACAGAGGGGAGCCTGGCGGGGACAGAGGGGAGCCTGGTTGACATTCTCCTGAGTGCAGCTTTGGATGGAGGCCACTGAAGATTCTTTAAAAAATGTTATTTGTTTCATGTTTGGTTTGGTTTTTCTACAGATAAGCTTTTATTTTCCTTTGTTTCTGTTTTTTCAAGACAGGTTTCTTTGTATAGCCTTGGCTGTCCTAGAACTCGCTCTGTAGACCAGGCTGACCTTGAGCTCACAGAAATCCACCTGCCTCTGCCTCCTGAGTTCTGGGATTAAAGGCAGGTGCCATCATCACTTGGCTTTAGATAATCTTTTCTAAGCCTGGAACATGAAGAGACCGAATGATCTGCTTGAGAACAATTGGTACTACTTGGTCTACAAAAGAGAGAGACTGGGGCAGAGAGGAAGACCTTTAAGGAGGTGATGGTGTACAGGCACAAGGAAGAGGATGGGACGAAGGCCTTGTGAATGATGGTAGAAAGAGGTGAACGGTGAGAGAGAATGCTGGGGGGTGTTCTGTATGGCAAATGTGTTGCGCTGATTGGTTAGTAAATAAAACACTGATTGGCCAGTAGTCAGGCAGGAGGAAGTATAGGCGGGACAAGGAGGAGAATAAAGCTGGGAAGTGGAAGGCTGAGTCAGAGAGACACTGCCAGCCGCCAAGATGACAAACAGCATGTGAAGATGCCGGTAAGCCATGAACCACGTGGCAAGGTGTAGACTTATAGAAATGGATTAATTTAAGCTGTAAGAACAGTTAGCAAGAAGCCTGCCACAGCCATACAGTTTGTAATCAATATAAGTCTCTGTGTTTACTGGTCGGGTCTGAGCGGATGTGGGACTGGCAGGTGAGAGAGGTTTGCCCTGACCGTGGGCCAGGCAGGAAAACTCTAGCTACAGAGAAATCTTTTTGTTTTCTTTTTGTTTTGAGACAGGGTTTCTCTGTGTAGCTTTGGAGCCTGTCCTGGAACTCACTCTGTAGACCAGGCTGGCCTTGAACTCACGGAGATCCTCTTAACTCTGCCTCCCGAGTGCTGGGATTAAAGGCATGGGCCACCACCGCCCGGCTAAGAGAAATCCTTTACTTACTAACGTTCATAAGCATAAAAGAGCTAAAAGCAAGCTATTGCAAGGGAAGACGCACAGAATGTTTGAGGAATAAAACGTGATTTCTTCCCTCCCGGAGTGTCCCTTCCGTGGGGAGAGCTCTGCGAAGCCTTTCCCGCTCTCGCTCTCTCTCCTCCCTTGACCGATGGTGTACTCATCCGAGTCCTGCATAGCTCACACGTGGTCGTATCCCACTGCACCTTATCACTCTTGTCCACTTCCTGCTGGACTTCCTGTGCATGTCCCTCTGCCAGACCCTAAATCTTGAACAGGCAGGAAGCCTGTGATTTTTCTTGGTGTCTGCTGCACCTAGCACAGTACCTGGGCCACAGTAGGGGCTCAACCAAGGTTGTAAAAAGTAGTAACTCGATGGATAAAACTTTATTCAGTACCACTGTTTAGCAAAAACCTACGATGCGCCAAGGCATTTGTATTGTCTGAAACTCACGGCAATCCTCCGGTCTCAGCCTCCCAAGTGTCGCGATTACAGGTGTGTGCCACCACACCTAGTTTTATAAGTACTATTTAAAAATGTATTTAAAAAGTTATTGGCTTACATTTTTTAATCCTGTAGATAAAAGTATGATAATATTTCCTAAGAGGCGTTTTGTTTTTTAAATATCAGGAAGAGTTAAATTAATCTGCTAGACAGGAATTAAGCAAAAACAAATGAGTCTTGCCCAGATCTTCCCATGTACACGTACATACATGTTTTCTTATAGTGTTAGGATCTACCTCGGAACCACCTCCTTCAAGTTCTAGACATTAGTTAGGGGTTCTCTTGGGGTCTGAGGATGTGTAGGCCATTGGAATTACCGGTTCATCTCTTCTCTGTTAGGGTCCCCTTCTGAGTCAGAGGAAGAAGCTCCTAGAGAAAGAAAGACAAGAGATGGGTTTTTTTTATTAATTAATTAATTAATTAATTAATTTTGGAGCTGAGGATCGAACCCAGGGCCTTGTGCTTGCTAGGCAAGTGCTCTACCACTGATGTGTAAAAACCAAGAGATGGTATTTTTTTTTTTTTTTTTTTTTGGTTTTTCGAGACAGGGTTTCTCTGTGTAGCTTTGCGCCTTTCCTGGAACTCGCTCTGTAGCCCAGGCTGGCCTCGAACTCACAGAGATCCGCCTGGCTCTGCCTCCCGAGTGCTGGGATTAAAGGCGTGCGCCACCACCGCCCGGCGCGAGATGGGGTTTTTAAGGCAACAATTTCCTAAACAAATTCCTAGGCATTTTGAAGACCTGAAAAAGAGTCTCGGGCTGAGGAAGGAACCTCGTGGATCCTCACATGAACATCCAGTCTGGCAAAGGGGACAGTGACTCTAAGAAACCTAAGGAGTCGGTCGCTCAAGGACATGTGCCCAGCGAGCGATACAGCTCAAAAGAACAGGGCCGAGTTCTGCATTCCAGTGTGTAAAACACCTGCTGAGATCTTTGGACTCACAGGGCAGTCTTTGCAGGCATTCCCTGGCCTCATAAATCCTCACCGAGTGGGTGAAAGGGGGGATTATTCCGGATTCCAAACATTGGAGGTGTAGGTGGGTGCTCTTCAGTCCTGCCCTAGTATTAACAAGTCATCCTCCATCTTGGGAGTAGGAGCATTTGATGTCCAGATGCCAGAATGGAAAAGCAAACAAACAGTGGGATCCAATCTCAGTTCTCCTCCCAGGTCCTAGATTTATTTCTCAAGATAGGAAATTCCAGGAATATCCAGGAGAGCTAAACCTGGAGCTGTTTATGGCGCTCCAAAAACTTGAGGCTAAAAACATGGAACACATTCCTAGCCATGTATTTACTCATTAAATGTCTGTCGAATATTCATTATGTGCCTAGTTCTGTGGAAATTATCATAGATAAAGAGGAATGAGACCGTTTGGGCCTCGCGATCTTCTCGGCAAAGGAGCGTTTAATCCATGATCATATGATATGTAAGTGCCGGAGGCAAGGCATACCTAAGGTATTAGAGAGGCAAGAAAAAGTACTAGAGAGTGGTCCTCCGGATAAAACTCAGAGGATGAAGCAAAAAGGAACGAAAGCTTAATAGATAACTGAGGACTAGAGATTGATTTCTTGTCTAAAATTACTCCTCTTGGGTACTGCTGCTCAGGGGGTCACCAGACTTCTATCCCTGACTCCCCACAATGTATATTCTCAACCAGCAGTGAGGGGAAGGCAGATTATGCACGTCTCTGCTCAGAACCTTCCAGAATTTCCTGTGTTACTCAGAAGCAAAACCCTTGCAATGACAGATAAGGACCTGCTCACCCACCTCCCTCCACCGTAACCTCATCTTGGACTTCAGGCTTCATTTCCTATTGCTTTCGGGCTTGCCTGCTCTGCTCTAGCCACAGTAGCTCCAATCTTCCTGTTTTACTTAAGTTGTTTTTGTTTATCATTATTACTATTATTTGTGTGTGTATGTGTGTTTGTGTGTATATGTGTGTGTGTGTGTGTGTGTGTGTGTGTGTGTGTGTATGTGTGTGTGTGTGTGTGTAGGCATGCATGAGGGTCAAATGACAACTTTTGGGACTTGGTTCTGTCCTTCCACTGTGGGTACCAGTGACCAAACTCTGGTTCCAGGCTTTTATATTTAGTGTGAAGCATCTCGCTGGCCCAACACACTGGCTTATTTCTACCTCAAGACTGATGCTCTCTCACCTCAGGGCCACTGCATTTGCTGAGCTCTCTGCCTAGAGTGATTTTCCCTTGAGTCTCCTGTGACCACCACTTAGCCTCCTCCAGGTCTTCCTTCAAATGTCACCTGGTTAGTAAGGTCTTTTTTGGCCACCTAATCAAAAATGACAACCAACACACACACACACACACACACACACACACACACACACACACACACACACACACACACATTCCTATTCATTTTTTCTATTTCTTTTGTGATGTTGTGATTTATCACCATTTATCTCATCCATCTGCAGTTTCTCTCTCTCTCACTGTGATGTAAATTCATCGGCACATCACATCATCATCCATCTAAGGAGTTTTGTCTACTTGATTCATGCCTATTATCCCCAGTGTCTAGGTGGGTAGAACAGGCCCTCAGCAAATGCCTATTTAATCACACATAATTATATTTTGAGAGTGTACGTCATGCTCCAGAAGCGGTCAGCTTTACCTTCTATGTAAATCTCAGCAGAAGTCGAGTCCGTCCCATAGATGTTGGAAGCAAAGCACGAGTATCGCCCTGTGTCCTCTTCAAAGGCCTCGGCGATGGTCAGGGAGTGCAGGTTGCCCGTCTGCACGATGTGGATATCTGGAGAATTTTCAAGCTCCTTGCCTTCACAGTACCACCTGCAGGGAGGGGGATTCGGCATTCAGACACAAGGAAAGCAGGAAAGCTGTTAGGCAGGGTGGGATTTACCTGTGTAATCGAAGCACTCAGGAGCTGGAGGTTGCAGAGTCAGGAGTTCAAGGTCATCCTAGGCTACTCAGTGAATCGGAGGGCAGCCTGAGCTACAGCAGACCCTGCCTCTGAACTAGAACAAACACCACAGCAAACCAAACAAACAAAACTAAATAACATCAAAAACTCAATAGCAGAGATGGCTCCCAGAGATTTTCTGAGAAGGAAACTGACAATAAGTCAGAATATTAAACAATCCTTTGTTTTGGTATTGTTCGATTTGTAACAGGGAGAAACGTTGGCAGTATTCAAACTACACTGATATTTTACTCCGGAAACTGGAAAGCGATTCCTGTTGAAAATTATACAGGCGGCTGGCTCAGAGAAGAGTTTCTACTGAGTATGCAGAGGAGCCCAGTTTGGTTCCGAGCTCACAACCACCTGGGGTCCCGACTCCAGGGTTTCTGAGGCTCTTCTGCCCTCCAGGGGCACTACCCTTCTGCATACAAACCCACACATATACACATTTAAAAAAAAAAAAGAACTACACAGTTGAGAGATGCTGAGAAAGCAGACACCATGGATCACAAAGCTAGGACTGTGATACAGATGTTCATTTCTTCCCAAAGTTTTGTAGCATGCACCAAGTGCTACTTCATCTTACCCAGAAGGCACCAAAAAGATAGTATTTACGATGCCAGATGCGTTTACCTTGTGTCTGACACTATAAGAAAATTAATTCATTTTGATACTACTTCCCCCAGACTGGCCTCGCCATAGTGAACAGCCCAAGTTAAACGTTTCTATGGGTGATGCATGGTTTGTTTGTTTGTTTGAGACAGGGTCTCGCTATGTAGCCCTGGATGGCCTGAACTCACTAAGACCAAGCTGGCCTCAAACTCAAAGATCCACCTGCCTCTGCCTCCTGAGTGCTAGGATTAAAAGTGTGGGCCACACAATCGGCTGGTCTTTTAGTTTAATTCTATATACTTAAAATTAGAACCTTTGGCCGGGCGGTAGTGGTGCATGCCTTTAATCCCAGCACTCGGGAGGCAGAGCCAGGTGGATCTCTGTGAGTTCGAGGCCAGCCTGGGCTACAGAGTGATTTCCAGGACAGCTGCCAAAGCTAAAAAAAAAAAAAAAAAAAAAAAGAAAGAAAAAAGAAAAGAGAAGATCTATCTTCTGTCATGAAGGCTTTGATGATATAGGATTTTCACTGAGTCTCTGTTTTGAAATTCTGTTTGTCTCGCTACTTTCACTGGAAACATTGTAAAATCTTAGAATTCTGTCTCCACAAGGAGCGGTCTGCCTCATCAAGAACAGTGCCTGATGCACTCCTGAAGCAGCCACAGAGCCCAGGGCAGCTCTGTCTGCTTTCTCAGTGTCTCATCTCACCCCCCCAGTGTCAAGCACACCTCCACCCCCACATCTGCTTCTTCAGCCCTGACTCTCTTTTCTCATCTCTTTCTTTCCTTCTGTTCCAGCCTCATTGGCCCTCCTATTCTGTGAGCACACTGAGCCCTTCTCTACCATGGATCATTATTTGTTTGTTTTTTTAATTGATGGGGGGTCTTATGACATTTAGAAAAATGGTTTACATGGGGGAGCATTCCTGCCACAGCATGCTTGTGGGGGTTGGAGGACACAACATGTGGGAGTCAGTTCTCTCCTTCCATTAGGTAGGCCCCAGGGGTTAAACTCAGGTCATCAGGCGTGGTGGCAGGTGCCTATACCTGCAGGTCCTTGAGATAGGTAGGATCTTACTAGGTATCCCAGGTTGGCCTGAAACTTGTTCTGTAGCCAGGCTGACCCTGGACTTCTGGTCCTACCTCCACCTCCTGAGTGTTGGGATTACAAATATGCACTCCTACACCTGACTTCTGTGATCCCTAAAATCATCTGCCCCAGATCTTCACAAAAATAAGTCTTGCTAAGCAAGACAACTGCTCAAATGTCACTTTCTGGGAGAGGATTCCCAGACCCTTTTCCCAGTGTGGCCTCTTTATAGCCACTCTATCATGCTAACCCAGGCATTCGTGACTTTTGTGTAGCTGTGACCAAAATACCTTAGATAACAACATAAAGGAAGAAGGGTTGTCTTGGCTCACTGTTTCAGGGGACTCAGTCCTCCGTTACTTGACCCCATGCACTTGGGCAGACAGAGCATTATGGCAGGCAGAACATGAGTTAGAAGGGGCCTTTTGTTTCATGGCAGACAGGAAGCAGGGACAACAAGGTTGTGAGTTAGCATCAGGTGTCACCTTCGAAACCACTCCCAACAACCTACTTCCTCCAACTGGGCCTACTTCCTAAAGTTTCTAATCTTTCAACATGGCATCAGGAGCTGGATGACCATGCAATACGGAAGCCTGCAGGGGACATTTCATATCCAAACCATGGTACCTTCATCTGTCATCCTCTTGGTACTCCCTACCGTCTGAAATGTTATAAACTTACTTTGTCACTGTTTGCCCCCTCTCAGCACACTTTAAGGCCCACGAGCAGACTTCATCAGACTACAGTCCTACAACCGTGCTCTGGTACATGGTAGGTACTCAGAAAATTAATTAATTGTTAAAAATTAAGTGTGGATGGACTTCTTGAACCACCAAATGATGGGAAACAGTCACAGTTAATGTTTTGTTGAGTATTTAGTTGCCTCATCAGATTCACTGCCTGTCTTTGAGCTGCAGGACCTGCAGCCGCCAAGACAGGCTTGCAAATCTCCCAGAGCACACAGCTAACCCTGACTGAGGGGCGCGGTTGTGAACGAACCCGAAACACGTCTCAACACTGGGCTTCCAATTAAACACTGCACGTTGAGCACATTTGTTGCCATTATTCTCCACTTGAAATGCCCATAAAAAGATTCCCCCCCCCCGCCCGCCCCTGCTGTGGGGGGTGTCAGAACCAAGCCTCTTGTAGCCAAGGCAGGTTTTAAAACTTGGTAGAGGACAACGGCGACCTTGAATCTCCCAATCTTCTGACCCCACCTCCTGAATGCCGAGATTACAGAATAAGAGAACTTCTAAAGGCACAAAGCCACAAAAACTAAGAGAATGAGAAGGACCAGGAGAGCAGACACCAGCCCTCGGGCTCGGTGGGCAGACAGACAGCGCACACCGGACACCGGACACCGGAGCAGGCAGTTGAGAGGGGCAAACCAAGCACTTCCTTGGGGATGTCAGTGACATGAGTTGACGCAGCCGAACCCCAGAAATCTGGGACATGGAGACATGAGATGGCTGACAACAGAGGAGAGGGCACGGGGTGTAAAACAGGGGGAAAGGTCACACGTTTGGAGGAGGAGCCTGCACCCCAGGTCATTGCCCCTCAGCTGAGCAGTGGGCCGTCCTCCCAGAGAGGCCAAACTGCAGGGTAAGGGAGCTGCGGTCCCAGAAGAGAGCACGAGAAAGCAGGGAAAAATGAGGGGAAGGACTTAACCCCACAGACTTGAAATTTCACAGACGGATGGTAGAATTCAGACAAATTTGCTTCGAATTCAAACAAGAAAGGGCAAAACCACCACCACCAAGAGCCAGATCAAGAATAAATTATGTTAAACGAACAGTACGTCTTGTCCTTCTGGAGCTGCGGGCTAGGAATCCGTGAAGGCAGGGGTGGGAATCATATTTGCATTGAGATGCACAGACTTTGTGGGTTAGTGTTTTCCCAACAGTATACAATAGCAACCATTAGTATGGCATTTACTATGTCAGGTATCCTCTTACTTATGTGTTTAACTTTTTATTACATTTATTTATTTTTGGGTGTGTACCATAGCATGTGTGGAGGCCAGAGCACAACTTGTGGGATTTGGTTCTTTTCTTCCATCATGTGGGGCCCCCCAGGATAAATTTTGTAGCAAGTATCCTTATCCCAGCTAAGCCCTCTTGCTGGACACACACACACACACACACACACACACACAGAGCTTCCTATGTAATTTTTTTTTTTTTTTTTTTAAACACAGGGCCTCACTGTGTATTCCCAGCTAGCCTCGAATTCACTGTGTAGACCGGGCTGGGTTCAGACTCACAGAGATCCACCTGACTCTGCCTCCCAAGATTTAGAATTAAAATATGTGCCACCATGCCCAGCCTTTACATTTTTATTTATTTATTTAGTGTTTTCAAGACAGGATTTTTCTCTGTAACTGTCTTGACTGTCTTGGAACTCACTCTGTAGACCAGGCTGACCTCGAACTTACAGACATCCACCTGGCTCTGCCTCCCAAGTGCTGGGATCAAAGGCGTGCACCACCGCCGCTCGGCTAAAATTTATTCTTAAACTAGCAACCAGAGTCACTGGTTTCGCTGTGGCCTGGTCACACTCATGTGACATCGTCCTTTGTCTGATGTGTTCTTCCGACATGCCACTCCTCATCTCCTCCTGTAGCTCTCTTTCTCTTCTCCCAGACAGCTGTCCCCACCCCTACTGTCATGTCACACCTGTTCCGTTAGCCTCTCTTTCCCCTCCAGCCCTAAAGATGCAACCCTCCCCTCTCACGTCATCTAGATGTAGTTTAAAGCACACAGGAAGGTCTGGGGTCATAGCTCCGTGGCCAGGTGACTGCCTACCACACATGAGACCTTGGGTTTAGCCCCAGACACCACGACCCTAAAGAGAAAAAGGTATAGAGGACAATATGCATCAATCATATGCCAACAATAAATAAAACACATAGTTCTATATAGGGGACTTGAGCATCACAGATGTTGATTTCCACAGGGGACTTCCCTGACAACAGTGGGGTGCTGGGTACACAAAGAAAAACTCTTCCCCCTACAAGGTGGAGTGAAGGACAATTTCCCAGTAACAAGCAAAGAAGCACTAAATATTTTTTGGTATAACAACATGACAATACATTGAGAGACATAACAAGTAACATTAGGGGTGCTGGTTTAATGTAGGGGTGCTAAGTTACCATCAACAGACAAGGAAGTCA